GCGGGGAGTATGTGTGGATGGGGTGTGGGTGTGAGTGTGAGCGTTTTCCTAATCCTGATCTACGCCCATATCCCACCCTCTATTAAGACAGTAGATGCACTGGTTAACAAAGCTTATTCTTCATATGAGTATACTGACAATGATGAGATTTCAGCATTATATCCATACTGAGTAAGTTGTATTCGACATAAAGTGTTTCCAGGAAATTCTAACGTTTTCTCTTTGGTGTTTGTTGTGCTTGAAAATCTCGACCATGTCACGCGGTTAGATGGAATATTGCCAGCATATTTTTTGTAATCTTCAATCATTTCGTTTGTCAAGTTGGCGCTTCGAAATACAGAAATTTTTTCTCGACGAAGACTGTTTGGGTCGAAAAATAGGTTTGTAATAGACAGAAAAAATGGTCCAAATGTGCGTCCATAACTTTTATCTTTTTCTGACACAAACTCGTAGTTGTCATCTATTTCGGTTTCTCTCAAAACTTTGTTGATCAGTTTGTACAAGAAACTTTGAAGTGTATACAAATGAACAGTACATTCAAGAATTTCTTTTTCTGATTTGTTTTTTACTTTCTCAATTCATTTGCAATAAATTCGGCTTCTTTTTTCTTCCCCAATTTTCCACCTTCCTCTTCAATGCCACTAGCTGCTCTTCAACCAGCTCATTGGAAATTGTTTTGCCGCCACTAAGCCCAACTGCTACAAGAAACCAAGCGGGAGTCGTGCTGAATGGTTTTGGAGTGAGCTTCGGCTGTTCAATCATAAACCGTTCTTCCCTAACATAACTTTCGCTTGCCAGGATTGTCATTTGTTTAATCGACCCTTTTTACTTGAATATTTTATGTTTATTTGGATTTGACGCTTGAAATCAATCCAATAATCATCCAATTAGGCTTCATTCCTTTTTTGCGTATATGCCGTTTGGATCATGCCATTTTCAAGATCCGAATATCGTTTTCATTCGTCTGACTTCATATTGTTCCAAGAATCAATGTTTGATTTTCACATCCAAAATTTTTGTTGGCCTTCTGACAATGAACTTGAGGAAGCCGTGTTGGCACAAGAGTGTGAGTGTGAATGTGGATGGCTGTGCGTGTAAGTGTGGTTCTTTTCTTCACTCGATACACTCTCACACCCACACACGCACCCCATACCCATCCACACACCCATACCCCTCCACATCCACACCCACCCACGCCCACATCCACACCTCACATCCACACCCACATACCTCACACCCACACCTCACATCCACACCAGAGATGTCCATCGCGCCGCTGCCGCCGTGGCGGTGGCGGCAGATTTCTTCCAAAAACTATCGCGGCGCGGGAGAGATTTTTAATTTGCCGTCGCGGCGGCCGCAGCTTTGTAGGAAAAAATTTCAAAAACTCATGAATTTGCACAGAATCTGCATGTTTATGTATGCTATACTGTAAGACTTAGCGAATCTGATCGATTAGCGGCATCAGTTCTATTTCAAACCAGTCAAAGCCTTGAAAATCAAAACATTTTTTCGAATACCAGCGCGGCAGCGGCAAGTTTTTTTTAAGGCGCGGCGCGGTAGCTTTTTTTAACAGGCCATCGCGTCGCGGGAGCGGCAGATTTTGAGCCGCGATGGACATCTCTGATCCACACCCACACCCACATACCCCACATCCACACCCCACACCCACACCCTAATGATAGTTTATCAGTGTCGATTTCATGTGTAAGTGCTTGAATATAGTTTGTTAATTTTTGTATATCAAAACTTGTTTTTTATTTTTCATTTTTAAGTTCTGTTAATGATTGACGTAATTCTGCTGCTACTAAATCTTGTTGTAAACGATATTCTTTATGTTTACATTGTATATCTCTAGGAAGAAGATCAAATTATGATTTTCTACATCATTTTTAGATTATTTTACTTCATCAAGAGAGCGTGGTGTTGGTTTTTTGTTCTTAATCTACAATATATTATTTAGTAAGAAAACAAACTTTGTTTTATTGAATTCTTTAATTTTCTGACTAATTTATGTATAAAAATGTCATAAAGACAATTAAATGACTTAAATAGAACTGACTATCAAAGTTTTGAAGCCGTGTTGAGTTTAAAGTGAAATTCTATCATATAGGAATTGTTTCTATAAAATAAATACACTTTTAATAATGACATTCGAAGCTGCTTTGAACCGAAGGATCATGTCCGTTGGGTTGAAAGTCTTCGGATTTGGAACTTGAAAAGTGATCCGATTACAAGACGTGCTCTGTAATATTTATATCGATTGAATTCCTTCTCTACTTTATGAGGGAGCCATTTGAATTAAACGAGAATGAAGCTTCCAAGGAATAAATATGTTACAAAATGCAATATCATGTTCGTTTATATCTCAACTAAATAGAAATGTCCTTCAACAAGTTTTGTTGACAAATATTTATTTTTCTTTTAAAAGATTTTCTTTCATTAATATATTTATTAAGCGTACTAATATCAGTTTTAATTTGTTCATATTGTTCTATTGATAAACAAATTTTATCATTTAATTCTTGTTCTTAATAGGTTTGTTTATTTTTTAATTGAACTATTTCAATATCAAGTTGTTTCATACGAGTCTATAATGTATTTGCAGTTCCATCCACGAATTAATTGTTCATTTCAGTTTGTTTTTGCAAATGTTCGATAACCTAATGGACAATATCTAAACATAAAAAAAAGAACTTTTTTTATTTAATTTACCGATCCGACTTTAATGTTGATCGAACTTGATTAATAAATTTTTGATAAGTTTTTTTTTGCTTACCAACAATATTTCTTTGTTCATCTTGTTATTGTTTAACCTCATTAGATAATTTTTCTAAATATTTATCATAAATTTGTCGATTAAGCTGTTCTTGTAAACGATTTATATATTCATCCCGTAATGAATATTTATGTTTTAATTCATCAGCTAATAAATGTCATTTTTCTTCTTAATCATATAAATCTCGATGAATATCTTCAATTTGCCTTCCTCATGTTGAATGATTTTGTTCTAATTTACGATAATCTTTTTCAAATTGAATATAAATATTTGACTTTTGTTTTGGCATTTAATTTTGAAAAATGGTTATCAAAAATTTCATGATGAACTTTACTTTAAATACAAAGTTTGGAGTTTTTTTAAAATGTTCGAGAAAAATTCTGATAATTGTATGATAAATTCAATTAACAAAAAATGGCTTGTTTTTTTTCTTCGAAATAAACTATGAAGAATAGTATAAAACTGAAAATACTACGAAAGTAAGCAAGATATAATCGGATAGATATGTCTATATTTGGAGCTTGCTCGCTTCAATCTTAATCTATTGTGTAATTAAATTCGTAGAGGTTTTTGTTAAAGGCGTATTTCTGAGATGATACTCGTCACAATGAAACTAAGTCCGTGTTTTAATATAAATTCATGTTTGAAAAATGCCGAAGTGATAGATCCAATATGAATCATTGGCATAACTGTTGTTATCTAATAAATTGTTATATCTGGAACACGAGTCATTTCTACTGAGTATTTGTGAGAATCTTGTTGATATTTTCTTTGAAATAAATTATTCTAAACATAAAAATGTCTTCTAATTTATCTAAAATCTATGCATAAACATGATAATGAGATATTGATATCTATAAATATCAATATTTCATGTAATAAAATCCTTTTTTTTTCTTTAAACAAATTTGATTTAATAGTAACATTCTTAATTAGTACATTCCAAAAAAAAAGAAGAGAACAAAAGAAGTCTATGGCAAGAAATAAATTTTGAACAATATAATAAATATGCAAGATATCCTTATTTTAATGTGAAAATATTCTTGAGTATTTAATTTATCACAATATAAGGATCTAGCAGTTAATGCAAATAATATGAAAAAGAGTGAACAGATAATAAATACAAAACTCCAGTTGTTTTAAAATCCACATTCAATTATAATAAAGGATCACATTTATATCAGATATGCACATCATTAAAATCTTTTTTTGCAAAAATTAATCGACAAATAAGAAAGACTAGGTTTATAGTCGTTTTAATGAAGATGTCTAAAATCACAATAAGAAATTGTTTATTTTATTGCAAGAAAATCTAATTTACTTTTTCATTTTTCTTTTTTACTCCTGCTTTTTGTTTCTTTTCAGAAGAAACAGGTGATAAAATACGAGATCGTTTATTATTTTGTTGTTGATTTTCATCATTTGATATACGTGTTCTCAATACATTTGATACGTCTCCGCCAGTACTAAAGTTTTCCAATAGAAACTCAATTTTTATTCGATTTTTCAATATATTTTACCTAATTGACTCAGTTGAACAATCATAATTTGATTCTTTTAATTTTCTGGAATTTTCATCTTCTAAAAATAAATTATTTAAGCTATATAAATCAATAATAGTTACTTGTAGATTCTTGTTCATTTTGATCTATTAAAATACAAATTATTTTCTTTTATGATAAGACTTTGTCATTAAATTATCAAGTGTTAGAAATGCAAAACTAAAGTAAAACTCTTTTTTTTTTTACATATGGGTAAACAGGCGTAACGAAGTGATCAACAATATTAGATACTGTAAAGGTGAAGAACTCCAAGTTTTGAACAAACATTTTGTAATGCTATTTACGTAGGATTTTTTTCACCAAGACATACAACTAACTTTCGTATCTCATTGAAACTGTCAAAGATTTTACTTGAACTTCATGCAAAAATGAGTCTTTTGTGAACTGGTATTTGACTGTTTTCCCTAAATTTACTATTCTCATCATCAAAAGAAATATATTCGAAATCAATACAGAAAACTGAGTTTACATATAAGTGTTTCGAATTATTCTGAAAACTCTTATTTTTCTCTGGTTCTCCCTCAGGATTAAGTTAAAAAGACTATTTTCTTAAAATATTGTTGGTAGTCAATACTCATCTTTGTTATGGAAGTCTACACAAACATATTGCATATGTGCACCTTTATTTGCATCGTGAGTAATATTTTGAGCAAATTAACTTTTCAATCTAACTTCGTGCGGGGGACCAAGGAGACATTTTTTGAAGGAAAATAAATGTTTGCAGAATATTTATGTCAAGTCAGCTTTCTGTTCTGATTCAGAACATATGTTCATGTTGAGTGCAAGAGTGATAAACTTCAGAAAATCAACCAAATATAGGTGCACAAAAGACTCATTCTCGCATGAATTGCAAAAAATATGTGTTTTTCTCAGGACCGGAATAAAAATATTTAAAAAAAAATTGGGATATGAAATATTTCTTTGTGAAAAAAAACTACGTAGATAGGTTTACAAAATTTTGATTCAAAACTTGTAGTCTCACACCTTTCGGGTATCTGATTTATAACTATAATATATCTGAATAACCTCATAAATAACTTTCCTAGACTCAGTTTGTTACGCTAAGTCTACAATAAACAGTTTTGAAATTTGTCAATTATCAAAAATAATCTCATTTTCAGAAAAAGTAGATCATCGAAAAAAGTTACCATTCTCTTTCCTGAAAATTCATTGCAATACAATGCAAACATATATTCTTGATCAGCTTATCACGCCTGTCTAACTATATTTAAAATTCTATTTTAATTTTTCATTTCTGACATCTTACTGTTATCTATTTGTCCATCATTGGGTATGGAATCAAGTAGGAGTCTAAATAATAATTAAACAGATAAAAAAATTATACAATAAATTCTTACTCTTTATGAAACTGAACTCGTTCAAGTCGAACAATTACTGATGGATCAGATGCCGCACAATTATCTTTTGCACTATCTAAATATAATCATAAATAGTTTTATTATATTAAAAAACAAATAAAACCAATTCATACTCGTTTCTTTTTTCACTAGAGAAAAATCTTTTGATAAATTTGAATCAATTTTCTCAATATCAAATTCTGTTACATCTAATTCTGTTTCGCTTTTAATAATAACTTTAACAAAAAAAAAAAAAAAGACAACGTAGATATAAACAAAATTTTTTCTTTATTCATAATATTTATACCTTTGTCTTGTTGAAAAATTGCAATAGCTTTTTGAATTTTTTCTAAAACAGGGCGAATTTTTTCAATAGGAGCAATTGATGATGTATTATGTAATAATAATGTTGATGCTTGATGAACAAGTTCTCTATATGATTGTATATGTTGTTCAAATATTTTTTGATAAAGTGTTAAACAATTTTGAAGTTCATTAAGAATAGTATCATTTTGTTTTCTTTCTTCTTCATAATGAACATTATGAGCATTTAAATGAAATAAACATAATAAACGATCACAATGTATTGAACATCGAAATAATCGTACTAACTCATGACTAGATGACGATTGTGAACATGCTGAATCTTCACAATGTCCCAGAGCAGATATCATTTTTATCTAAAAAACTAATATATATTTATCTTTTTTTTTATTCTTTCATCGGAAAAATAAAAACAATAAATATCAATCTTTTCGTTTAATTTTAAATAAGAGAAGATTGCTTTTTTAAAGGTTTGCTTATCATTTTAAATAATCTAAATTTAATCATTCTTACATAATAGATTGTTCAATAAACTTGTCGCTATTCGTATGTGAATGTCAATAAGGAATAAAAAATTCGAAATTGTTATTCAAAAATTTAAGATAAAAACGAATAATGTTGTGAAAAATGTTTATTAATAAGTAGTTCTATAATTTTTTGATGCATCTGAATGTAGATATTAAACCAATAAAGAATTTCACATAACAATCGATATCTCTTAAATGAATCATCAATCTGGTTCGATCAAGAATATCCGTCTTTTAATATATGGTTGATCGTTTTCATCTAATTAGAATAGGTCATTATTTGGACATTGTCAAATGGTATCTCTTCATGAATAATGAAAGTTTGTCAATTTGAATGTTCACTTTTTGGAGGTAATTAGATTGTAAGCGACATCTAGATAAATCTATTTCATTTGGTTCATTTGGCTCATCTTTGTCATTTTGAGAATATAGATAGAAGATAAAAATCAATGAACCATGACCGATGACATATAAGAACAAAAGAAGAAGAAACAATAATTGTTTTCATATTATTTGATAGTTGTTAAATGAATTTTCTATGAAAGATTACATTTCAATTTTATTAGAAATTCATTTAAAGAAAATTCTAGAGAATATATTATTCTAATCATAGTATTATTAACTGCATGCTGACATAAGTCTTTGAATACAAAATTATCCATATTATTCATCAGCAAATACAGATTTATGAATAATGATGGAGTGCGATTTTTCGTTTAATTCAGACAGTACTCGATGCGACAGATTTCTTTTTTTTTTCTTTCTTTTGAGAAGCTGTTGCAATGTAATGAATGTCTCGGTACACAAATTCATGCTATTACTAAAAAGTGAAATGTAATTGTAATTATTATGAAATCGTAAAGCAAGTTGAAGTATTTGTTCTTAAAATTAGCATATATCGTCAGAATTGAGAAGCTTTAGCAGTTATTTTTATATATATTAAAAACTCAATTTTGGATTTTGTTAGAATACAATTATTATGAAGTCTCTTCATTGAAATATTCTTCCATTTATCTACATATTGAAAGAATAACAAGTTCTTGAGTGAAATAGCAAATTACAATCATTATCAATATTTTTCATACAAGAACAGTGGTGTAACCAGGATTTTTAGATCAATAGACAAAACTTCCTTGTGTCGAAAAAACACGATAGTCCAGAACTTTTTTGACCCATCGAAGTACGAATAACGTAAAAACAAATACGAGAATGAAGTTACTTCATCAATACACTAAAAGAAATAAGGTGTTTTTATTAACAAAAAAAGATGATATGATACCCTTTTAATCAAATGTACATGAAACTCAGATTCTAAGTCTAAATCAAATGTGTTCTAGTCTATTTTAATGTTTTTTTTCTGTGAAGAAAAATTACCACTGAATAAACTATTAGTATTAGGTCGCTTTTCATTCGACATACAGTAGTATTAGTGTGTTTTAAAGCAGAACCACAAAATTACAAATACACAATTGTATATATGTATACTTGTTCTTTTCTTTTTTTTTTTCTTTTGTCTCTGCTTATAATATACTATCATGGAAGCAGAAACTAGGCGATCAACTGGACAAGCTAGGCTATAGTTCATTTTGCTTCATACCAGTATTATAAGAAGAGACGAAAGAAAAAATATATTTACGATTGTGAACAAGTAAAATTTCAATGAGCGAAGGCTTAGTAGTAAAATTTTCAATGAACAATTGTCCATTTGTCAACCCCTGGTTACGCCACTTTACAAGAAAGGCTTGTATGAAAGTAGTATTTTTTCATTGTATCAGTACTGTTTCGCATAATAGAAAAAAAGTAATCATGATAGCAAAAATAATAAATGATCAGACATACTACTAAGAGGTAAAAGAAAATGCACAATGAAAATATGGACAAAGAGACATACTTGTAATGAAGCCCATGGATATTTACATTTAATAATTAGTTTTTGCCACAAAAAAGGAATTCAAAATTTACTATAGAATTGTTTTGGATTTAAATAAGTTGTTATATCAGTCAATGTAAGTCCTACAATATTAAATTGACGTTTGATTCAAGCATTTTTTTGCTGGAATCAAATGAATTTGCAAAAGTTCTCTCGAATAATTAAACAATGTATCAATATTTGAGTTTTAAAATGTAAGAGCCAAGTCAACAGCTCTGATTTTTAACAAATAGAATTGTGATATTAAATTTCTCTCGAGTGGATTTTGTATTTTAATGAATAAAGTGAGTTAATTTAGAAAAACAAAACTTATAAATATCTAAAACTACTGATTATGTTCAATGTCATTTAATGGATTTGTATTCAATGTAAGTGTGATATCTTCATTTAGTTGATCATCAATATTATTTGATGAAATAAAATCAGATTGATTATTATGAATATATGGTTGTGTTTGTTCTGTTGTAGAATTATATTTGACAATAATTTTCATTATTTTATTTGTTGTTTGTTCTTGATTTATATCATCATCAGGACTATTATCATTCATATGTGTTAATTGTTGATATGAATCCGCTGTAAATATTGGTAATCTTTGATGACGACGACGACGACGACAAAAAGAAAATTTATTGAAAATATTTATTATTAATAATCGTCGTTTATATGCTGAAAGTATATAAATACATCCTAAACCAACTATAAAACATATAATAATAAATATTAAAGATAGATACGATAAATTATGATGCTTATTATGAATTAATTGTGAATTTTGTTGACACATTCCCTTCGGAATATAAATATTTATTTCTCCTTGCATTTGATGACAATTATGAATTTCTTTATTAAATAAACATTTATTTTCTTCATGTTCTATTTCATCAAGAGACATATTAAAATAACATAATGGTGTAATCTCTTTCAAAATTAATGGATTAAGTGTATGACGAAGACGACGATATAAATAAAAAACTGAACATGAACATAGATTATTTGGTAAAAGTTTAATTGGTATATGTGCTGGTATATCAATAATTCGACATAAATCATTATCATTTAATATTCGATCAAGAATTTCTAAATGTTCTAATGTTATTGATTGATTAAAACGAAAATAGAAATCTGTTGAATTCATTATTTGAAATAATATTTTACCACCTTGACCTTATTAATCACGTAGAAAAAAAAAAAGTAAATTTTTAATGAAAGTAAAATATTCCAAAAAAATATTACCTTCATTAATATTAACAAAAGCATTTGTTGCCATTTGTAATGTTCCATATGAATGTTGAAAACCAATACGCATTATACTTGAACGCCATATATCAATATTTTGAATAGCATTATCTTCAAATATTAAATTTTTTCCATATTTTATCCAAATATCAAGTAATGATTGATCTTCTTGGTGGAAATAATTTAATGATTGATGAGTAAAATAAACATCTAAAGAATTTGTTATTATAATTGATAATTTTGATTGTGCACGTTGACTTATATTAATAAATGTATTTGGTGTAAAAAGAATATTTTGTCCATAATTTATTTCAAATTGAAATGTTGAATTTATATCTTGTTTTATTTGACTAAATGTTTCAGCAGGTAAACATAAATCATTTGTTATATTATATATTGAAAATATTATTGAAGATTTTACTAAGAATTGAAAAAGAAAATTTCCTCTTTTTTTTTTTAATGACAAAGAAAAAGTAATAAGAGTTTACATTGAGTAATTGTATGGAATAAAGTTTTTTCGATATTTATATTTTGAAAATTTGAAAATGTTAAATAAAATTGGGATTGATCAAGTTGATGAAGATCAAAAAAAGATGTATGATCAAGTATTGCGTATTGAAAACGATCAAAATGTATTCGTAATTTACTTGAATGTTCTTGTGTTATATGATCAAAACTATGTTCATTTAATAAAACTCGAACAAAATTTGAAAAATAGTATTCCATTTTTGCATAAGACGGTAATAAAATCGAACCTAAAATTTTTAAAATAATCATTTTAAAATGTAGAATTACAACCAATTTACCTGCATTTGATTGAAATTCTAGTGTATCTTTCAAACAAAGTATTGAAAAACGAAATTCGCTTTCATAACTATATTTAATACCATCAAATGCATACTGTTCTACTGTTAATAATGATGATGTTACATTGAATATCTCAATATCAATTTTAGATTTTGGTTGCATTGATAGTTCATCAAATATTCTTGTTGGTATTCTTGGTGATGCATATTCAGATATTTTAATTGACAAAGTTCGCTCTTGATCAATATCAATTTTCGAAAATGTATTTGAGGATATACCAGTTAATTGAGCAAATTGTATCGTAAATGTTTTCGTACTATCATAATCAAATAAGTCATAGTAACGAAATGACTCTGATGGTAGTATATTAACATTTTCATCAAAAAATATTGTATTATAACGATAACATGTACGACATTTATTAGGTAATGATGAACATTGAATATATCCATGTGTTAAACTACATGTACATCGATGATATTGAAGATCTTCATCATTTGGACAAAATGCGTGAGTTTTAATAATAGAACTAAACAATAAACACCATGACCACCAAGTTATGAATAAGAACAGCATGTTCATATATGTGTGTGTCCGTCTGTCTGTCTGTCTACTTGTATGTTGAAATATATATATATACGGGTGAACAGCTCAAGTGTTGGATACGTATGTGTATGAAATAGAAGCGGTCAATTTTTTACCACACATTCTCTTTGTGAGATACAGAATGAACGAAGAAAAAGAGGTAAAGAAAGAGAATAAAGAATTGAATTGATTGTACTTTGAATTTTTTTTCTACTGTTTGCTGCTTGATCAATTGTGTACGATAACATCTGATTTGCAATCTAATGTCCATTAACAAACTGATGCCCTTCATACAGGCAAAATGAAGCACATCTTTCTTTGCTTGTGCTTATGAACAATAGAAATTTTCATGTCTTTATCACAGCTATAGGAAAATAATTATTTTTATTTGTAAAGCAAAATGTATAAAACGTATGGCTCAATCCAACTAGCCATATGAAATCTATATTTTTTTCGTTGTTAAATGACTATGATTTCGTTCCTATCACTTTAATTTGAATAAATATGAAACTGAACGTCGTTATTTTTCCTTTTATTTCATGAAGAAATAAAATGTTGAGCAAATAACTTGTCTGTTAAGTTTTTGAACTGTTTACTGTCTTCAATCAAGCGCTGAGTGGTGCATTAATTGTCAAATCATTCAAGTGGAAAAGTCTCACGACGTAGTACAAATATATGTGTAACTTTTATAAATATATATGGGTGAGTAGAGATACAAGACTTTCTAAAGAAAACAAGATGGTAGGCATAGAAAATAGAAGAAAATCAGGTATGTAACGTTCTGAAAAACTCTGAAAAAATCATGCTTGCTTTGTATAGGATTAGACATTAATAACATACAAAAGTCATTCGATACAATTTTATCCGAGAAGATGGTTTTAGAAGTGGCATATAAAATTGTACAATATCGCATAGAGTTTCATAAGATCTTGCATGATCATAAAAGATCATACAGTAAGTTTCTATATGATCTCATAAGAATTCTACAAGATCTTGTGTTAAGATTGTTTAACCTCGGCAGTTCATTGCTAATTCCAAGTTTCCGCCAATGACATAAAGGTTAACTATTCCAATAGAATTTTTGATGCTTATTAAATATTACATCTTTATAAATTATGATATTATATCACAATATTCAACTTGAGAAAAACAAATGATAATGTGAAACATAATAAGGTTGATAAACAAATTAAAATTTTTGTAGTCAGTTTAAAATCAATTATTTATGTTTATTGCATTTAATATAAATTTATTATTTCTCATGAAAAATTATCACTTGTTTCATGGTTAAGATGTGCTTTTTTTCTTGCTTTGTCGATTCGCAATTCGAAGGAACTAATCAAATAATCTAGAGATTTCAAAATCTAATGGCAATCAAATTTTTTATTATATTTTTTTATTTTCGACTGTTATTCATTATTATTCCATAATTTATTCTATTTTCTTTTTTTTCAAATAAAATTACGAAATACTAATGAGTTAAACAATCATTTTAATACATATACAATTCAAGAGAGAAAAAGAATAGCAAGTTATTTTGAATAGTAGTCAAGTGCGATTATCAATGAATACTGTATAAATTTATAAATGTTTTTAGTTTTCTGAAATACGAGAGAAAGGATAATTTTGTCTGATATTTATTTGTTTGGTTTTGTTTCATTAATAATTAATACTGAAAAAGAAAAGAAAGCATTTTAAAGATAACGAAGGAAAAAGAGAACTTCTAACCATTTTGAAAAATTTTCTAAGAATTTGTTCAAGATTAACTCGTCTAGTGGATTTTCTTTCAAGAATAAAATCAAGACGTTTTGCACTTTTTTGATTTGGTTTGTTATGAACATGAACATATTGAGTTTGGATTTCATAACCTGGACTTATAACTTGAATTGCATACGTACCATCAATAAGTAAACGATAATAATCACCTTCTATGTCTATTTATCAGTAAAACAAAGAGAAAAATTTCATTTCTGATTGTTAAAAAATTTCTTACTTGATGTAACATCATGATCGATATATTCCCAATCGTTATTAATCAATCGATTGACTTTAATAGTTGCATCATAAATCATATCACCTTCTTCATTTAGAATAAGTCCTTTAATACCCAAATGAGTCTAAAGTTAAGAATTCAAAAATACAAAAGAAATATGTATGTTCTTCGTCTAGTTTTTACCTGCCACATAAAATTTATTAGTGATTTCTTGTTATCATTCCACAGTGAAGGTAATTCTTTGCCTGGTGGAAATTTTTTGCAACCAAGTTCAAATGTTAATTCAAAACAATTACTTGCTAAATAATTAAAATCTTGCATTCCACCACATACTGGGTACCTTAACAAGAAAACAATCAAAAAATCTATTGAAACTAGGAATGTGCCGTTCCAGTTTATTGATCATTGGAACTCATCGGATCCGAATGCCATCGAACTGTATTCAGGTACTGTCATTGAAGTTTACTAATCAGAATGGAATAGCAGCTCCGATGATACGATATACTTTCTTCCTGTTTTTCATATGCGGTGGCTAGCGCAGCCACCACATTTCTTAGACAAATCATCTAAGAAATGTATAGTATAGATTCTATGGAGTCCAAAGTTTTGGGACTTGTTTAAAGAAAAGTCTTCAGATCCGGACTTGATCCTGTCCGGATCTGACACCAACTTGATGGGCTCTCCTAACTACCGACTTATGAGGAAGCGCCTCCAATTAATACCCTACGTCCGAACTCCTATTTAGCTAATTGTTACGGTTCATGATACATATAAGAGTTCTAAAAGTATTTGTATCAGTAGTGTTTTCTTGTCGAGACATGATTATTTTACTGACTCATCAGTCTATTTCCAGATGCTACAAAATAAATTGGATCAAGGAATTTTAGCCTAAACTTTTCAGCAGAAACAGGTCTCATAATCCTTATAATATTCTTTAAGTTTTGAACAAAGGCAAATGATGTTTGTTATTTTGACACAAACACACAGTTTTAATGAAACTTTCAGGATATAATAAAGTTCATGATATTTACTTACCGGTGAAATTGCACATTAAAATTCTTTGATTCGATTTTTTTGAAAATATCCTACAATTGGCAGAAAATTCAGTAAAACACTCATAACTCAAGAAGGAAATGGTGATGGCACATATCATTTTTGAATTTTATCTGTGCTATGAACCCTAAAAATCAGACAACTATGAGCTCGGACGCAGGTCATTAGTTGGAAGAGTTCCTCCGTCAGTATAATTAGTGCACACTGACTTCAATGTTCACTAAAGTTTTGAAACAAACTGCTTGAAAAAGGACATATTTTAATAGAATTGGCGTCTCAATGTTGCAGTGAACGCGGGTGCAATTTCAACATGTGTCGGTGGCATACTGTTCAGTATTTACACCAATATTGTACATCTCTAACGTAAACTAAATTAAATCTAATTTATTTACCATGCTGCACCATTTGTAATTCCTTCAGGAAAAACGTCAGTGTCACAAGACTTTTGCTGTGATTGCATTGTTTTATGAGTAGATGAATATGATTCTGCTAATAGTCTAAAATATTCAAAACAAATGTCAATTAAAAATCAGAATTAGAGATTTACTGAAATAATGGATCATCGGGTGATGATGAATACATTCGTCGATGATTCTCTGAATCATCATATGGATAATTGGCAACAAGTGCACCATTATGTAAATTAGCTGATAATACAAATGGTTTTTTCAAAATCCAAAAAGCAGCTGCTAATGTTTCAATTTGATACTAAAATAATAAAATGTTTTTGTTTTATTTATTGATTTTTATTTTACCGGATTATCTTGACAATCATTTCCTACTACTAATGAAAGAAATGCTTCAATGTCAAGATGATTATTTCTATAATTAGCATTATGTTTATATTCATACATAAATTCATCTAAATTAGGAAAGTTTCTATTTAAATCAATATTATTTGCATTTGATCGACCAGCTATCCAATCTGTTGTACCAGATTCCTACGAGAGAAAAAAAAAACAAGATTTTTATAAATTTTCATTTAAAATTTGACTATCTAACTTTTAACATTGTTGAAATATCTTTGAATTGTCCAGATTTGGTGTGATTCCATGCATATTGAACAGCAGCTTCCCAACCATCTATAAACAATTTATTTTTATAGAATTTATTTTTATAATTTATTTACCAGGATTCATTGATGGCAAAAGATGTATACGTGTATTTTCAATTAAATTTTTAATTTCTTCATTATCATTTCTATATTCTTGACAAAGATATTCAGCTAATCTCAATAACAATTCTCGACCAGTAACTTCATTTCCATGCATATTTCCAACATATTTAAATTCTGGTTCAAGTAATTCATGATATTTTGGATGATCAGAAAAAACAATAACACGTAATGGACGATTTTCAACCGATTTTAATGGTAAATCATATATATGGGTTATATCAGAACATCGCTGATGTATACGATCAAGTACAGTCAACATTCCATCTGTATTATGATGTTTTTCATTTTCGATTAACTCGTTGTAGTCTTGACAAGAAGTAAGTACAATAAGAAATGTGATGAGAACAAAATTTCGAAAATAGATTGACTGTTGAATCATTATTGACGATCTATAGAAATAAAACCAAGCATAATTAATATTTTATGTTTTTTTCTCGGCCCTAAAAAAATAACAACAAGAAAAAAAGATTGACAACAATCTGAAAAAAGAAGAAGAAAATATTCTTCTTATCTCTATGAACAGCAAAGCGAAGGTTTCTCATATCTGTTTTTTTTTCTTGCTCGTTTGCTATTTTCAATGATGCGACTCGATATTCGACCTACCCAAATAAGCGACATCATTGGTATAACACGAGAGAGAGAGAGAGAACGAAAGAAACAGAATGAAATTGTTTTTAACAACCCCTTTTCGCCCTGTTTATAATACAATCAGCTTACGAAGCTAGATGGTAAAACAAACTACCTGCATTCACTTAGCAGTAAGCATCCATATATACGTTTGAGATCCCACACAAACTGAAACAAAATAAACGTAAGCAACATGATTAGTAGTAATGAATATGATTGGCTTACATGGTTAGCAACTGATTGTTAACACTTTTCCGAAGACTGAGGTGCAAAATAATTATATATTTACAGAAATATGATGTTTTACTGATCAATAAATGAACAGAATATCAAGTATCATTTCTGAATAATGTCATTGGATAAAAACTCTATCAAGTTTCTCATATATTGATACGAATTATGATTATGAAAAATGAAATGTAATGCTTACTAGTGTAATCAAGCGATTCTAACTCCCTTTCGTCCTGTATTAAAAATATAATTACACCATTACTAACGCTTCAAATAGAACTAAATACTTTTTTAGTTATCATGAGTTTAAAGAAAAATTTTAACATCATTATATTCACATATATCAATCCTATCGTTCTTTTGATACTTCACTGTATGTTAATTTTCATTATACTGAAACAGGCTTCATTTGCTCATTTTGATTAAAGTCTAAGTTTAAGGTGTCTGATTTTATAAATTAAGTTAGTCAACTTGTATTTCTTGTTCATTAGTTAAATCTTGTTTCTCGATCGAGTGTTTTGTTTTATTATGTTTCAGTTTCTCTGTGATTTTAACACGTCAGTAACAAATAGTTAATAATTCATCTAGCCAGATCTTTTCATGGTAAAATTTGCTTAATTGAAAGAGTAGCTTCAGTCAGAAATATATTATATATGAGTGGCTGACTGATACCTAAGATACTATCGAGTTAGTTGGATTCATTATTGATACTCTCATCTGTTGCATCTTGTATCATTTAATAAGTAAAAAGAAAGTATTAAGTCAATTTTTTCGACACAAAAAAAAACCTCTATTGGATTTCTATACTTGTTTTATCATAATACAATCAGTTAAAACTCGTTTTTATTCGAAAATTAACAACAACAAAAAAATATAAAAGTATTCTGTGTATTGCCTTTTCATATGAAAACCGTTGAAAATAAAGATAATAAAAATTGATTGAAATGAATATTAAAAGTGATGTTGACTTGCATTCATCTAATACAATCAAGTTTAATACTTTATAAATCATTTATATAAATAGAATATCTTTAAACGAAAATTTATAAAGTTGATTGCAATATTTGTTAAATTTTTATAGCTAGCAAAACACTTGATAACAAATTATGGACAAGTCCGTGAATAGGTAACGGTGTGTTTTTCTTGTGACAACAAATTTTTTCACTATGTTTGCTTGTATTTTCTAAACGATCAAAATCAAATTTCAATAAACGAAGAAATGATGTTTACTATAAAGACACTTAAATTATAAACCTTTTGATAATAAGGATCTTCTCGTCTCTTTAACTCATATTCACACGCACAACCACATCTACACTCTTAGAATCGAAATTTTGTGTTCTTTTTGAGTATTGGTCCAAAATTTCTGTGGGTCTTATGATTCAGGAATTATGAGCAGACTTTTTGGAGATTCATATATTAACTTTGAACGAATTTCAGCGAGCCAAAATTCAAAGCAAATAGAAGCAAAAATTGTTTCAGATACTAAGAACGAAAGAGAAAACATTTCGCTATGAAATAGTGTGCTAATGATTAGTTTTCTGCTAACTATTTGTCAACAGTGAATATTGTTATGAGTAGCACTGTCCCAATTCAGACGATTTCTCTTAACTGCTATCGGAAATAGACTTACAAAGTGAACTCTGTCATTTTTGAATTATTTTTCTGAAACTCCTGATTCTTATGCCACTTTCTAAAGAGCAATCTATTTTTTAATTCTATTCAAACAAATGATAATATAACATATTCAGTAAAGGAGTTCATTGTTTAAAACAAATCGTCGATTTTTTTTTGTCTGAACTTAATGCTCGTGCCTCTAATAAGTCGATTAACAAATCCGAAATGAGAAGTTCCAGAGAAATTTCGAAGCTACATTTGAACATATTACAAAACTTTGATTAAGTATACAATGGTGACAATGTTCTTCGGTTCACTGTTCATCATTCCATAGTAGCGTAAGGTAACCTACAGTGCACCGATCTTATGTAGAACGCTGCACTAGTCTAAATATATGCACATTAGAATAATGGTGAATAGATGATAAAACTACAGTGAACTTTGTTTCTTTTCATTTTTTCTTTTGGGTAAAGGCCTATTTCAAAAGAATATATGAATTTTATCAAACATTACCAAGCCTTGAAAGTCAAATCTTTCTAGAGCGCGAAAAAAAAAATTCGAGGATCTCCATAATCTTCAATGGATGGGAGCTCTTAGGTCCCGAAAACCATCAACATATGTTGATAAAATTCAGCTATTCTCTGGAAATCGTCTCCCTGACCGAAACCAATTCAAGATCATTATAGGTTTATCACGTGTTTGCTGTATTCACGGGTAGTCTATACGTAGATGTCTAGATCAGTGCAAAGCTGTACGTAAGATTGGTGCACTGTGACCATTGCATCCATAATCTTGAATCTAATATGATGTTTTCAAATTCCTGCAGATTCCTTCAAGAGACTGAAAAATGAATGAATAATTTGTTAAATCACTTTTCGATTACCCCACTAATATACTTGCACTTTAAAAAGAAAAGAACTTGAAAAAAGTTTCAGAGTTATGCTAAATAAATCTCCTGACTTTATATTAATGTACTGAATATGTACATTCACCTACTTATTTTAACCAGAGAATCATAAATAATTCCAATAAATATTGAGTCCAAGTACGGATATAAATCACATTCAAATATTCAAAAAAATATTTTACAAAAATCTGCAATTAAAAAAAATGTTCTCATTCCAAAGAATTTTTATGATTCTATGTAGCATTTAATTCTAACTGTCAAGGCATTCTCAAGATATGTGAAGATTCAACAGCCATATATTGACAGACATGATTACAAGAAGTTTTAATCCTTTCAGGATGGGATTCATTTTTGCGAAACAACATAATGAAATAGGAAATTAGTGAAAACGAATTAATCGTCATTTCTAATCAATCATATTCATCTTTCGAATACCAGTACAGTGCATATGTATGTCGCTAGTATCAAATGATAAAGCGATATCAGTTAGATCTACGATAAATAGGACGTATCAATAGATTTGAACTGTTTCGAGAAATAAAACGCTTATATGCGTTACCTGTTCTGGAAGGATTAAATCACAGTTGTCATTTGAATGGGTTTAGGAAACAAACATACTATTGAATCTAATTTCGTACTGTTAGCAAAACACGATTCTATTGAAATTGATTTTAGGTTTTTAAGTATTAATTATATTTATTCTAGGATTAAGTAATTCATATGTAAATTGTTCACAAATTCTATAATTACGCAATGGATTCGATATTTCATTTCATTAAAGCGTAAACAAATTATATTAATTTTGTATTTAAGAAAAACTAAAATACAAAACGAACAAAATTAAATAAAGAAACATAATAATTCAACTATTTGCATTTTGATACGTGTTTACAAAAAAAAAAGAGCGAAATTACAATAAAAGCTTCAACAGAAATTTTTCTTGTTTTAATATAAAAAATTATGCATATCTATGCAAATACTTTGATTTTGAAATGTACAAAACAATATTTATCAAGTATTTTCCTATGTCAATTGTCGAATTAACAAAATCGAAAACTATTTTACACTATATGCACTCGAGATAATTTCTTCCATTTAATTATATCTTTACATTTAATTGAAGTAATCCAGATGATAACTACTCAAGTGAATCAATCATTTCATCCGATATGTTTGATAAATTATCCTTTGTATGAAATCGAAGAATCTAAACTTTTCTAAAATACCATACCACACAAGAATATGCATCATTCTATATTTTTGTATTCCTCGTTATAACTTTATATTCTACTGAAAATACATTTATCAATGATCATCATTTTTTATGAATATATTTCAAATTTATTAAAACTTAAATAGATCTCAAAATCGCGTGTATCTTAATTTATGTTAACTCGCTTGACTTTTCCTCAGCTTGCAAGAAATGAGCTTAGTCTACTGATAAAAAAGAAAACGGAATAAAAAAAAAAATTAAACATTATTATACACACAAAGAGAGTGAGAGAGAATGCAGTTATATAGTTTTATGAAATGCATAACATTTACGATATCACATGAAATGTATTATGATAATTATTCACTCAAAATAAGCATCATGAATTCGAGCTATTTCGCGCAAAATTGATGATTGAATAAGAAAACCTCGAGAATTATTCGTCACATCTTTCCATATTGCCATACCCTAAATAGATATATTTTACAAATAACGGTTTTCTTTTTGGATTAATAATAATAAACATACATCTGTACGCAAATTAGGAAAGGGCGTGTCTGAATCATAATGAAAATTCCATATTTCTGCTTCTACCCAAGCATTATCTGTATTGCGTAGATCATCAATATATCCTAAAAAAATTAATAATAATAATAAATAAACTAAAAAAACTAAAACGAAAAATTCTTCAATTAACCTCGATAAACCATACGGGAGTCAAAGCCAGTTGGTTCAGCAGTACTGAACGGCAAACGAGCAAATGATTGAAAATACTAAATATAAATTAATTTTAACTATATATTAAAGAAATCCAATTAGAAAATTTTACTTCAATCATATCCTTTTCTTGTACTGATAAACTGTATTCAGAATCATAATCTTTAAAAGCAAATTTATTAAAACTACGACATACAGCACCATATGAAGATTCAACACCTAAAATTTTTCCCTACAAATTGAAAAAAAAATAGCAATAATTTTTTTGAAATTAAAACTAGAAAAACAAAGTATACTCCAGGTAATCTCCAATCATTGGTATATTTATCTTTAAATACTAAAGCTTCTAAAATTCTTTGTCCATCAATAATAGCAAATTGACCACGATGTGTTTTCCATCGTGTTATTACAGCCATAATAGATTTATTTGGTCCCCATCGAATTAATGCGCCACGACCACGCACACCTGTACGACCCATGGGATTCCTATATTCATAAAAAATATTCGTATTCAAATATGTAGAATTTCTTATGTATTTATATACATAGGTATCAATAATTGAGCATCTAATTCATAATCTGTAGATGTTGTATCTGCAGAACTTGTTATCCAAGTTGTTCGATCAATCATGATCTAAAAATATGAATTTGATGATTTATTTCATTTAAAGACAACAGAGGTGAAAACCTTGTTTCCATTGGATAACTGTAATTCAACTACTTGATTCCATTTGAAGTCTGTGAATGGAATAGTAATATCATTTGTTACTGTTGTTACTGGTGCTTCAATAGCTCCAAATAAGTCTGGTTGAGTTATAGGAACTGATGATTTAGCAGTTGTGTCATCCCCCACTGGTGATTCATCTTCATAATCATCAACAAGACCAGTCTGATCATCATCAGAAGTTGATTTTATTCTGAAATAATTCTCATATTTATTTATTTAATTAAATAAAACAAAACTTACAAATCTGGTTCAACAAATGGTCGTTCACTATCTTTAAAACAAACATGTTCTTTTGGTAATGAAATTACGGTTGGATCATATAAATCAAATTGAGCCTAAATATTTTTTATTTTCTTCTAAGTTTTTATCAAATAAAAAAAAAACTAAAAAAGAAGTAATAACCTTCCAAGAAATATATCTTTCTGTAACTGGAAATCGCGGTTCATTTGTATAAATATATGGTGATTCTCTTGATAAAATATGAGCAAATTTGTCAACTTCAGGTAATGATTTATCTCCTCGTTGAATTGTTGAACGAATTTTTTCAAGTAATATATGTGAATCAATCAATAATCTATCTAATGAACCAACACGATCATTGATTTGTCGTAAGGATTTTCGTTGTACATCGATATCTTTTTGTATATTTGTTACACTAAAATTGATTATATCAAATTTTAATAAAAAAAAAGACGAATTTCACTTTACCAGTTTGATAAATTATCAAGTTTTTCTTGTACTTTATCAGCTTCTTGTGTTTTAGCGTAATATTCTTTAGCTTTATATTTCCAATATAGATTTGCTTCACTATCTTCTGTATCACGATTCTCCATATTCTAGAATAAATTAAATTCAATTATCAAATCAAAAAAAGAATCTTTATTCTACATACATTTTTCATTGTTTCATTATCTGTAACTGCTTTACATGGTTTGCAACTAAGACAACGTCCTACTAATGAACGATCTTGGATTATTTCATGTGGTGAATCCTTGAAACTACTTATATTATCGTCATGATTATCTGTTTCTGCAACAAATCGAGTAATAAATTTCGATTATGAGTACGATATTTACTGTTAAAATAAAAATATGAATACCTGTTCTTGATGATTGTGTACGAAGTCGACTTGCAGCAGAACTTTTTTTATCAGAATATTCTTTGGCTTTTATAATGCAACGACGACTACAACTTGTTATCAACATAACTATAATAAAAAGAAAAAAAAAAACAATTAGATATGATTAGAAACTTAAAAAAATAAAATAAAAGTTTTAAGTTTTGTTGAAAAAAGTAATTTTGGATAGAGATCTCTCTTATTAGTTATAACAGATTTTATTCTACACATAAAGGATTTAACCCTTAATATAAATGAGATACAAAATTATTTACTAGAGTTTTTATAAAAATCTAAAAGTATATATCAATAATCTTTATGAGTTTCTTGAAATAAACGTATCTTTAGCATGATATCCTCCATCAGGTAAGAAATAATATACCATAATACCGATTTAGTGATGATGGTAAATCCTAATATTAACCTTCGTCAGATATCCTCTTCCGACTTCAATTATTGTTTGCTCATTGATACTCTATAGTGTTCTAATAGGAACTTTTAAATACTTTTTGTACTTTCATTAAAACATTGTAATATCTATAGACAAACAGAATCCTTGAAATAGAACGAAAACATCTGAAGAAGTTCTTCTGTGAGCCATCGATGGAATGAACTAACAAGTATAACATTTTTTCAAACTAATAACACTTAAAAAAAGTTATATCATCATTCATATGTTTTTGGCTATAAAATTAAGCGTAAAACTAATAAGTTCTTTTTTAAATATCTTCCAATGAAAATTTTGTTTTTTTCTTTCCTTCAAAATATATTTAAAATCGTATTACCGATATAAGAAATAACAACAAAAGGTGGTGGTAAACGTGGTCGTTTAGCATATTCCATAACAATTTCATATCGATTATACATCCATATTTGTTCAGATTGACTTTGTACTCTTGCTCCAGTTAAACTAATTTAACAAAATCAAAGAAAGAAAAATAATTCAGCCATCAGAATTAAATCGATTTCATTTAAATCAACAAACCCAAACATAGCTGTTAAAAGTGATGTAAGAAAACGTTTAGCTAAAAAGAAATATTGTATAAGTAAAAACCAAGCTATCCATGAGGGTTGATTGCATTTTGATGTTGGTATTCCATATCGCTGATATGCATAAGCATTATCATCTTGAAAAAAAAAGTTTTTTTTTTTTCATTTTTTTGAAAGAACAACAGAAAACATTCTTACAACTAAATGAAAGACCCTGAGATAATCGTAGACAAGCATATTCTTTTTCTGTTGGATTCGTCGCATTTATTGTACATGGATTGTCTTGTTTTTTTAAATCAAGCATTTCACTACTAAATAATGCCATTAAGCCACGAAATACAAAAGCTCTTGTAAATAAATCTAGATTAAGTGGATGATGTGGATAAAGTACAGCGGTTATTGCAACACCAGATGATATCATAAATATCACAAATAATTGTAAAAACGTAAAAAAATCATCCATTATCTATAATTATTATATTCTCTTACAAAAAAATAGACAAAAGAATTAACAAAGAAATTACCATACGTTGAAGACGAATCATCATCGGACCAAGTTTTGGACTTATCGGTAAAAATATAAATAATATTCGATAATAATAATAAATTAATCCAAGACCTAAGATTGCTTTTGCTGGTAAAATGTGACAAGCTATTAGAAAAAAAAAAAACAAGAAAAAAATCGATCATTTCGAATAACTTTCTCACTGATCTTTTACTTACTTCCAAAGTTCCATAAACCAATAATCCTAACACCAAGATAAAGTGCTAGAAATATAGTTTGTACCATAACTTCTAATACTGCTTGATGCAAAGGTAAACTACTCTGAGACTAAAATTTCAAATTATTAAATACTTTTAGCTTTGTTTTTTTTTTTAAATATCTTACACAATATTTTTCATAAGCAACACGTGTATTTTCAAAAGCAATTGATGCTGCCCAAAACCAAACAATACAATCAAGTAATAAATTTCCACATGATGGCCACATAACAGCCAATGTAAAAAAGAATAAAAATGCAAGATAAGCAACGAAATTTGTATAAAATTTCGTTATTGGAGCTGACCATAAAACTTGAATTTCTTCAAAATGACTCATTTTTTTTTCATCAGGTTTCGATACGTCTAGTGTATTTTTTTGTAGTTTTCGATGATCACCTTGAAAAGACTGTCTTATTCGTTGAAAAATTCCACTCTAAATATACATATGTATACATCGTATCAAAATTATACTGATCGACAATATTGAAACTTTATCATGTCATTGTATCAAACTTGTTTTAGATCAACTAAATACATGATAATTATCTATTACTTCATGGTATTATCATCAGAATACATATATTTATATTTAGTTTCTGTCAAACACTTGCTGAAACAAGTATTAGGGTAGAAATGTGAATCTACCTCTTTCATTGTCATGATAGATACTTTAGCAATGCCCTTGTCCATCACAGTATGTAACAAAATCAGCCAACGACCTAATGTTTTTCGCGGGATGATTATGGAAGAAAATTACATTTAAGATATCTATCTTTAACTAAATGTTGCATATTTTGAATAACATCTTTCATTGCGGACATACCAAGGCGTTGAAAATTTCACATAAAAGAATATACTTCACACTACCTCTATTTAATAATATCTATGAATTAATCCTATTTCTCATTCTATAACTCTACAGAGATTGCACTAATAGCTTTTCATTTTAAAAGCATGTATGTCTTTTTTTAGGAATATTAAAAAAAAAACTTTAGTAGCATCAAAAGTAGAATTTTGTTATTAGTTTATGAATGATCATGGATCTATTCTGATGATACTAAGTTCTATAAATGATAAGATAGATCTGTAGAATATTATACTCTGATCGGACATAAATGTGAATTTTTGTATTCATTTATGACGTAAAACGACAAGATCAATGATGTAGATGAAGCAGATACTTAGTTGCAGGTAAAAACCAAGAGTAAATTAAAGTGGAAAAACTAGGTGAAAATGTCTAATGGCAATTCTGCACCGTGACTTTGCTCTAATCTAATCAAAATGCGTCATATACTACGAAAGATAAATTCAAGTATTTGCATAAATTCAATAAATCTGAAAAAGAAACCTGATGGTACATCGTCTACCAGAAGTATAGCGTTCACAAGTCAATTCTAGTTCGGTATCTACGATTATTCTTATGACGTCTTTTGAATTTGTTCGTTTTTTTAAATAAGCTTTACTGATGTGGTCTATACCAAACAACTATATAAAAAACACTGAAACGCGCTAAATTTCAAAGACTCCAATCAACTGAACTTTTTGTTTGACCTAATGTGAATCAGGTCTTCATAAAGATTTGCTCATATATTAACCTTTCTTTTCTTTCCAGAAAAAAATGATGTTCAAATGTTGTTTAAATCAGAGCGTAATATTGTAGCAAACTGAGTATCGTTGGATAGGATTGTGACCATACAAACTATTAACAAAATGTTATTTTTGATATTTCTAAATATTTGTTGTTCTATTCGCAAAAAATGATAGAAAGATTTTTTAACATGTCAAATTAACTGTACATATATGCATATATTCTGATCATAGATGGTACAACGCTTTCAATCTCGAGTAGGTTCAGCACTAAAAGTAAGCGATATAATTGAAATTTGAGCTTAGACCGACTTCTGCGTATGTTATTTTCTTCGATAGATGCACGAAGTCCAATTTTAGCCGAGTCCACTCTAGTCGAAGAAGTGAAATTGGTGCATGGTTCAAAGAAAATAACATAAGTTCAAATTTGAATCAGTCGATGTTTTTTTTAGTACCGAAAACAAACCTAAACTTTCAGATGGTTTGGATGTAAGTTTTGAGTTAGGTGCATGTCTAATCAAAAGATATGCACTGAAGGAAGCAGGTCAACATTTGTTTTTTCTTTTCTTTCCTTTTAAGTTTCAATTTTCGAAAAAGAAGTTTTCCATCTACTTAACTGAAAAACAATGAAGTTATGAAGCAGAAGTATTCGAAAAACAAGTAATTATATTTCAAGTTTCTTCAATTTGTTGAAAATGTTTCTTAGACATTTAACCTCAGCCATTGAAGGCAAAGAAAACTTTCAGTAATTTTAGTTTATCTAACTGAAGTTTTTGGTATAACTCTTCTCAACGTATCACAAAGTAGTACTATTTCAAGTCATTGGCAATGTAGGACCTAACACTTAATTATACTAAGTTAAATATTTCCTCAAGAACGATTGTATAAAAACTTTAATACACTGTATAAATGTATCAATCTTATGAAACGAAAAACAAATGCTTGATCCTACTATCTTTGAATCTCAAGTAAGCTGTAGCGTATCCAAGTCTCATAACTCAGCTGCCTATAACTCTGATTATAATACTTGAAATAATTGAAAATTATTAGATATTCAGTCTGTTGATTTAATATAACTTAGACACACACTAATGTGAAAAAATTATTAGTTCGTTCATCGATATAGAATTGATAGAATATTAAGAATAAAATGACAAGTGTATTAATAAAATACATACTCCTTGTCGAATGTTAACTTCACCAACATGTTCAGCTGATTTTTTTGCTTCTAAATTCAATTTAGTTTTTGATTTGAAGTTTAAAAACATTTTATAAATATAACTAACGATCAATTTTTGGTACTGGTTGTGAACCTTTTTTTGCATCGGGTGGTAAATCACTCGCTTTTTTCGCTGTTGGAGGTGCTTGACCAATTGGAGAAAAATTTATCCAAAACCACATTGGAAATATCAAAACAGCACAAGATACAATCTATTTAATAAAAGATAAATATTCATATCGTATTGATTCAACATTTTATTCACTTTAATAGAATCAGGACATTTAAATAATCCCCATGGAAGTTCACGTGGTGTAATTTCTCCATAAAATTGTCTTGTAACCCATTTTTGACAAGCAGCATGTGCGACAAATTCTTTATTGTCTGCATTATAAGCTAATTCAATAGTTGCCATATGACTCCAATCCTTGATTGAAAAAGATTTTATATTTTATTGAATTTTATGTAATTTTTTTTTTTTTGAAAATTCTTACCACATGTTTTTCATCAAGCATCTCAAATGTTCTCATACTATCTTCATTGAATGCTTTATCAAGAACACCTACAGCACAATCAGAAAATTCTCTAAAATAAATAATAATAAGTTTTATTTAAAATGAAAAATAAACGAAAGATGTTTTCTTCAAAATTTACTTTGCTTGTTTTTCTATTAATGTTCTCTGATAAGATTCATGACAATATGGTGCTAATTTTTTAAACATCATATAACAAATTAATGCTAATGGAATTGGTTCAGCTGAACGTTTCCAAAGAATTTTTGCTAATTGATGTCGATTCATTAATACAGCATAAATAATTAAATGTCGAAGAGCCTATTTTAAACAAAAAAAAAAAAAAATTCTTTGAAAACATTAAACAAGAAAAAAAGAAAGACAGAAGTTTTACTTTTTTTTCTGCTCTTATTCGTTGTCGTTGAACACCCTTATCTGATTTATCACCGAAATAGATACCCATAGCATTACAATCCATTTCATGTTTACTAAAAAAATGACTAATATCCGTTAAACGTTTAACAATTGTATTAAGACCCTGTTCAACAAATTCTTTTTTCACTTCTTCTTCATCCTATTTAACAAAACATATATATATATATATATATAAACAAAACTCTTTCTCGTACTTACTCCTGTCTCACCAAGAATTCCTTCAATTGATGTTGTTGTCAAAAATTCTTTATCTTTCGCATTATTGAATAAAAAAATTAATTTGTCTGATTTTAAATATCGATGTAAAACAAAATCTCGATCAAGAAATAAATCAACAAAGGGTTCAAGTTTTTTTCCCAATATGGCTTTATCAAATAATTCTGGTTGAATAGAATATCTCAAATTATCATCACGTTGAAAAATTTCTGATAAAGCTAAATCTGGTAAATTCCAATCAAGTGTTAATAAGAGATTTCGTTTTAATTGAATGTTAACTTTACTACCAGTTACCATTTTTTGTGCTACATTAAAAATAATATAAATAAAAAAAATGAATACAAACAAAAGAGAATGAATATGTGTTCATACATTGCAAAAGTGCTAAAAGAATAAATTTATGAAAATCATTCAATGATGCTGTTGCACTATTAATATCAACAAATGTTAAAAATTTTCTGTTTTCTTGCTCTTTTTTTTTAACAATTGACACAATTGACATAATAAAATCACGAATTTCATTTCGTTTAACATTATTATTTCTTAATAAAGGATAGTCATCGAGTATACGCCGAGTTAATTCAACTTTTAAATAACTGTCTTCATAATCTTTTTCAATTCTAAACAAAAAATTTGAAATCAAATTGGGTTTTGTTTTTTTTTTACTTAGCACAAATTTCTTCATAAGCAAATGCAATAATATCAGTAGCTGATCCAGTTCCTTTAAGAACTACGATAGGAACTTCATTTTGAATTTTTCGATACACACGTTCTATAGTGCCTGGTGTACCACGAGCTAATGTACATACCATTGGAAAACCATCGTCACCCCATGGATTAGATTTATTTGATGCTACTGCTGCAGCATCTAAATGAAATCAATGAAATTGTTCATCTATATAAATTTTGTTTATACCGGTTGTTGCTGGTGGTGGTGATCCAACGGGAGACGTAGTTTGTTCTTGTGATCTTTCTTGATGTAAAAATTGTTCGAAACGATCACGAAATCTATTTGTAGCACTGTCAGCTGCATCTGTTATTTTTTCTAGCTGTTTTCCACCAGTTTCAATTGTAACATTTTTTTTCAGTGAATCATCCATTGAACTAGAATCAATCGATTGTTCACGAATTATAATAAAATGTGTATGATCACTGTTTAATGATATTTGATCACGTTTACGCATTGTTACTTTTACATCCTATTGAAAATTAAATTAAATTAAAATAGAATGATAAAAAATAAAATTTTCTTAAACCTTTTTTGGTTTCTCTTGTGCTGATTTGAAATCAATAAAACCTTTAATTTCATCATCACAAACAATTCCAATTAAAACTAATGCTTTACGTCTTTTTGGATCACGACCCATCTGTATCGCCCATGCATCGTCAGCTCGTCTTAATGACTATATTTTAATTAAAAAACAAAAAACCAAAATAATAACTTTTTGAAAGAAATTTCATACAGTTTCGTCTCGAAAAGAAGATCCAATTAATTGTGGCAAACCAAGATCAAGACCATTTGTAATAAACCATACTTCAGAGGCATTTGCAGCCTAAATTAATCGATATTTTAATTTGTATTTTGTTTAAAATTTATACAACTGTTTTCAAACACACACAATGACACTTGCACAAAAGCTTTATAATGTGATTGATTTTGTTTACCATATTTAAAAACTAAGTGATATTCTCAACTCTGACATAATTGTTATCTATTCATGCTATGAGATTATTTTACATTTGTGATAGGTGAAACAAAGATTCTCATGGAAATTCTCTATTTATAGTACCAACAAATTAAAATCAATAAATATCATTTAATATTGAAGAAGAGTCGCTCGATAATGCGACCTTACTATCAAAGAAAGATAAAAAAAAAATTGTTAATCAATATATTAGTCATAATCATCATGTATTATTTAAAGAATTGAATGAAAATGTATCGATAACAAAAATAGGCGTAGCATTCTTAAGCAATCTATTTCTTTCTTTTGAATGAAATTTCGCGAAAAATACTGTTTATAATATGATTAAAATCTGAAATGCACCATTAGTATTAATAAGCAATTTATCAATGATAATATATCTTGAACGAAGAACCAATCAGCTTATTAGCTTGAAGATAAATCAGATAGAAATCTTTTTGTCCAGCGATAAACATAAAATCGAAAACTTGAAAATGACAAACCATTGAACAACTGATATAGTTTTTAATGAAAGAGTTTAAAAATATTTATTTTACAATACTTATTAAAAAAAATATAATGCCAACATATGTTTGATTTTTTTCAGTAATATCAAAATACTAGCTTGAGTAGCACACATATTCTTGAATACAATGAAAGACGGCCGCATTTGCTATGACTTTACCTTGAAAAGTTAAAAGCATCGCATAAATTGAAAAAAAAAACATGAAATCGATTAAAGAACGCATTCTTTTTGTGATGCTTATAATTTTTTAAGGTTAGGTTGAAGAAATTGCGGTAATCCTTCATTTTAATCACAATTTTGTGCTCATGAAAATGTTATTCTTAGAAACTAATTTTCACACAGTCTACCTAAAAACTATCGTGTTTAGTGCTTCAGAGTTCTTTCTTTCACAGACCAATCTATGAAATATCGTTTTGAAATGTATTTTATAGAGAATTTCATTAGCTATTCAAATTACTATAATGATTTTTACCAAATACTTAATATTGTAGAGAAAAATTCAAAAATATATCGTTGCTAAATTTTTGACCAATACTGGGGCATGGTAAAAATTATTAGTTGTCTATGAAAGAGTGCTATTTTTTTTTTACTTGTTATTCCTTTCACAAATAGTTTTAAATGTACTCTTCGTGATCTTTTGTTTGACAGATAAAACAAAGCAAATAGACATGTATAGAAAGAATTACTCATAAAGTAAAGTATCTAATCTTTTTTACAAATAGTTTAATATATATATATATGAATGATTCACTTACATTTTTTATGCCAATTTTTAATGCTTCAATCATTTTAAGATTTTTAAATAGTTTATAGCGTGAAATAGCACTAAGAATAGGTATAACTAAATTTGGTGCTTTTAATTTCCATTCTTTGGCCATGAATTGACTTAGAACATTTAATTCAATGTTACTATCAACATAAAGAAATGGTCGGCCCTAGAAAAATCAAATGAAATATCAATATATTAAATAACTAAAACATATTTTTTTAAAAATTTCAAAAAGAAAATGTTCACTTTATATAAATAAATATTTGATCTATAAATAAAATTTACCTCGCCAGAATAATCACCAAGAGAGTCTTCAAATTTCAATTTTCCCCAAATACCTCTATATTGTTGTTGAATAATATTATAAAATTCATCTGGATTTTCTGTTGATAGTGGACGAGGAAGAGTTTCAGATGATGATAACTCTTTCTGAACACTATCAGTTGCATTTTTCACGGTATCTTGCGTCGTTGACGCAAGCATCTAGAAGAGAAACTATATCTATTGAGATAATATCAAATGTAATACAAGTAAATATGATAGCTATACCGAATAGTCGGTTATTTTAGTGAATATATTTTGAGTTTGTCAATCAGTGATTTAAATGAGTAACCAATGAATAGAATAACTAATGTCTTTTTCTTTTTCTTTTTCGTTCTTTTTGTCATAGCAGATTTGCGTCAATGATTTTTGGTATCCATATGTATATATACATATATATGTATATATTTTACACTGACAAATCATTCTCGTTTTGTCTTTATGCCTTGTTCTGTCTGTTTTTTTTTCTTTGCTTCAATCATCGAATACCTTTCTATCTGAATATCTAATGAAATGGTGTCTGTGTGTTATAAGAAGAAAAAAAAAGAGTAACACAGAAAAGGACATAAAAGTGATGCATAACAACACTGACAGGTAATTGGGCTTTTTTAAATTGGCGCAAATAGTAGATGAAACAAGTTTATATATCACGTTTTTTCTGCTCTCTTATTTCATCGTTTTGCTTATAGCGAATCATTTTATTGAATAAAATTTTTTTTTACCTTCCGTTTCTTTGTATATTTGTACTTTGTTCATATACATTACCTAGTATTTATTTCCTATCATTGATTATCATAGAAAAATAAAAAAAAGAAAATAGCATGTTGACTTTACTATTACTTATCATACAAGAAAAAATATGATTGTAAAAGTCGCTAAAAAAAGTGACACAGAGAAGCCAGTTAGTCCATTTTTATATTTTTCTTTGATGTGAATAGTATCGCTTTCATGGTATACGGTAGAAACATATAAAAGCGATCGTTTTGTCCTTATTATGCCACTAAATGCATCGTATTGTATTATTTCTTATCAAATGTTCAAAAGTCTCATTGTAATCTTGATGTAAAAAGTTCCATAAACAAGGAAGAAAGAAAAAAAACAGTCAATATTGATATTAAATAATCATGGAAAATCCAAAGAAAAACATCACGTATGAATATTGCCTGTGTTTAATAATATGTATTGTGTGATTGCCATGAAACTTCTAAAGCAAATAAACACCGAGAATATTCATTTGAAATAACATCAATGTATGTCATCCAATCAGATAATCCATATACATACTTGATTTGAGAGATACAATTACCCTCCCCCCCCACACACACTCTCTCTTTTTGCTATATCACTAGACCAACATGATGTAACAAAAAAGTTACTTTGCGATTCAATATCCTTCATTTGTGTAAATTTGTCATTAAATATGCATAGCAACATTTATTTCGATTGTACAAAAAAAAAAAAAATAGAGACATACAATAGTAAGGAAGATAAAAGACCTATCTATACAATTTCACTTCTTCTGACATTCGTTTTCAAATGTTGATTGATCAATCATTGATAAATAAAATGTTTACTGTTAAGTAAACTAGAAACGTCTAAGGCAGAAATGTCTATACTACACAACGAAGGAGAAATAGAAGGTCATTATAATATACACGACTCATTGCAATGACAAATAATTGTACAGAAAAAAAAACACTTGACAAATCCTATTGACAAATTTTATGTTTCATAATATCAATTTGATTGTGTTCAATATAATCTAATAAACTATCTATATATTTTTGACTATTTTTATTTGTTCGATTTCCTGGCCATGTTTCAAGTGTAAAATCAGGACCATAATATGAAAAATAATCATGTTCAGGTATATCATTATCAAGTTTTTCATTTAAACAAATACCAGTAATCAATGTCCATAATCGAGCTGTATCAGCTATATTATAACCCCCACCACCCAATAAAAGTGTTGGTTTATTTGAATTAATTATTTGTTCAATACAATTGATAATACATTTCGTTGTTAAATTGAATGATTTCATTGGATCACCAAATAATGTATCAGCCCCACATTGCACAACAAAAACTTCTGGTTGAAATGAAGAATTTATTTTTGGTAAAAGACGCATGAATAATGAAAGATATTGATCATCATTAATACCATGATGAAGCGGTACATTTATATTAAAACCACGTCCCCATGTTTCACCTATTTCATCAAGCCCTCCTGAATTAATTGGAAAAAATCCTGCTTCATATTTATGTAATGAAACAGTCAATACTTTTGATGAGCAATAAAATGCTTCTTGGAGGCCTAGAGAAAAAAAAATAGTGTAAAGTGAAAGCAAAAGAAAACGAATCGCAGTTGTCAATAAAAATTTAGATCAATAATAGGATATGAAAAGCAGATTTAATCATCTAACTGAAAAAAGTCAACAGAAGGCATGAATATAGGCAAAGATTATACTTGTAGAAAGACAGAAATATTATATTCAAAGCATACTTCATAATCACGTATGCATTCAAAAAAAAACATATTCTTGATATAATCTTGATGTCAATAGGATTTGTTTTATTTGGCTCAAATATCTTTATACGATGTTGAAAGGATAATATTGACAAACTTTATAAATACTAACCCATAAGCTAAATCTTTATTGTTCTATTTATGCTTACCATCACCATGATGTAAATCTAAATCAATATAACATATTCGATCAAAGTTTTTTCGAAGTTCATTGATAGCCATAACAATATCATTTATGTAACAAAATCCAGATGCTTCAGATCGTTCTAAATTTTACTCATGTGTAAAATCTATGATTTTCTTTTTTATATTCTAAAACTTTACTTGCATGATGCCAACCACCAAAAAAATTTATAGCAATATTATTATTAGAACGATTTAGATATTTAGCAGCTGTTATTGATGCACCTCCGATCCATTTACCTGAATTAATAATAAACTTGAAAAAAAATTTTTTTTTTCAAAAAGTAAAAAAAATGTTTACTAACAAAATGAAGGTAATTGTTCAAATGATGGACATTCATATCCTATCTTATAAAAATCCATTTGTTCTTTATATAATTGTTCATGATTAGGATCTATATTTGAAATAAAATTTAAAAAATCTAAATAATCTCGATCATGTGCTGATGCAAGTTCATTATCAGTTGCTAATTGTGGTTGTATAAAACGAAAATGATTATGTTTATCAAGTTCATATGCTTGAATAAGTGCATCCACAAGATATGAACGATGACGAATTTTTTCAATATTATCAAGAGATTTATGAAGTTCCAATGATGTTATATAAATAATATCACGCATATTTTTCTTTCTATATCACTCTTTCAAATAATTATCTTGAAACAAAAAAAAACAAAAACAAAATAACTAACAATAAAATAAAACAAAAAAGAATGATTAACAATAAAAATGAATTTTCTTTTGAATTATTTTTTCTTATTAAAATTTCATTTATATGTTCATTAAGTTTTTTAGCAAATGGTTTAAATGAAAATTTTTCATTCACATGTCGTTTGCCTTCTTGACCCATTTGTTTTGATAAATTTTTATTATCAATAAATTCTTTCATACATTTAGCAAATGTTTCAATTAATGGTTCATCACATAAAAAACCTGTTTCATTATTAATTATTGTTTCTAATGGTCCACCTGTTGCTGTTGCTATAACTGGACGTTCAGCTTGCATAGCTTCAAGTGGAACAATACCAAAATGTTCAAAACGTGGTGTATACAATATACAATGAGCTTTTGCTAAATATTTACGTTTTTGTTCATCAGAAAATGATCGAACAAATGTTACTAATGATGAATCAAGATTTAATTCATTAGCTAATTGTACAAGTTCATTATAATATTCAACATTTTCACGTAAACGTTCATCATAACCACCAATTATATATAAATGTATTGATTGTATATTTGAATTAAGTAATGTACGAAGATATGCAAATGAATGGAGTGCAAGTTTTAAATCTTTTTTTCGTTCAAATCGATTTATTGAAAGAAAATTTATTGATTTTTCATTCTCATTAGAATATGATGATACAATTTGATCAGGTATTGTTGGATAAAGAATATTCACTGAAATTTTTGATGAAATATATTTTTCAAAAATTGATTGTGTATATGCACTATTCACTAGAATACGATCAGCAAGACATGTTGTATACACCTATATGAACGAATTAATAAGTATTAGATAAACAGTAAAAATATTCTAAATTAAATTTATAGAATATACTTTGATTTCTATTTTAGTCAAATTATATGAGAGATCTCATTCGAATCCAACAAAAAAAAAAGAAGAAATATGTTTACAGATACATATGTAATACTGTTTTATAGAACGTGAAGGCTGAAAGAACGTTGCCTCGTCGAAGATTAAAATAACCCCTTAGGAATTGACTGTTACTTTACGATGTATTGTGTGTCTATGCTATCGAAAATAGATGTTTGCTCGCCCGAAGGTTTCAATTGCGTTTTCAGAAGAAAAAATCTTGATAAAACACTACTATTTATTTGAGCATGAATTATTGCTTACAGCATAAATGTATTTCAATAAGGCAAAGAACAGGTCCGATTATTAATATTCAGTCGTGATATACTTATAGACTTGTTGAATCGTAATAGCAATGTTTGTCAAAGTGCATGTCTATTCTAAGACATAAATAAAATGAATGATTAATAAGCTCTTCATGCACTTCATCGATATTTTAAAATACATCTCGAAATTCTATTCATACATAAATAATTACTACTTCACCGAATTTTTATAAATAGACATACTATACACGATTAAGTAATCATTTCCAAAAGGTTGTAATTGATATGAAAGACAAAAAAAAGAACTTTGAACAATCGATCTGTTATATGAAACATTTGATAGAATATACACATGTATTGAAATGATCATCATAAATAAGTATCCTTATCGTTTGGTCATACTTCATTAGTTATGTAGAATTTTTATTAGAAGAATAATTTTACTAAACAAAAAAAAAACTCACTTCAAAAACATCAATAGGCCATCGATATAATTTCTTTGCTAATGATTCTCTTTTTGTTAATAATTGATCTGGATAATGACAATAGAATAGAATTGGTTTTTGTGTTCTTCTTAAAACTGGTATACAAGCACTTATTTGATCACATAGAAAAACATCATATTCTTTTTCTTTTGATCCTATATAAACAACATATATAGCAAGAAGAATAAATCTAATATATGCACATAAAGCATGAAATCTTCCAAATATATTTCTTGGAAACCATGAACATGCAACAAATACATTTAATTGTCCATTACGTGTTTCATCAAAACATCGTCGTTTATCATGAAAATTTGTATAAATATCAACATCATGTCCATAGAATTTTAATGCTAATGCAATATCAACAATTAAACGTTCAGCACCACCAATACCTAAATCTGGATGAAGTATTGCAATACGTGGCATATCTAAAATCTGATTATTAGTAAATTGTTTTTTCATTTTTTTTTGTTATTGTTTTGCATTAATAAATTAAATGATTATTAAATTTATTATTTTCTGAGAAATAAGAATTACTTGAGAAAGGAAAAAAAAAAGAGAAGAGAGAAAATGACATACATTATAATAATACTGAAGATATGAAAAACAAAAAAAAAACAAAAAAAAAAGAGTAAAAGAAGATTCATGACCAATGAAATAAGGTAAAGGTCGTTGCATGTGAGAAAACTGTACAAATAAATAGAATCACGTTCCGGTTAAACAAACAACAAAAAATGGTAAAAAAAAATACAACAAAAAGATATACAATAAAAAAAGGAAACTGATTGAAAAATTTATCTCAAGTATTCATTAGGGAAAACGACAAAAAATAGATCTGCCTAAATAAATGCATTGTGATAGAATCAAATCCAATTAACAAAAGATACCATCGCCATCTGTTAACTTAAAAAAGAAAATTATTTTTGATTTTATTAAAAAATAAAAATAAATAAAAATAAATAAAACAATATTGAATAAAATACCCATACTGTTAGAAGTAAAATATTATTTTTCAAGAAGCATTAACATTAACATCGACCTTTGAAGACAGAAAACAACAAATAGTAACTTAAAGCATCAATTTTTACGATAGCATAGTGATATAGAACACACAAAAATAAATAATTGATTAACAATCTTACCGGTGAAAATGATACTAATTTTTCTTTGTCTTCATATTCCTGTTTAGATGCCATGTGATTTTGAATTATTTTCATTCGAATTTCCGTCTAAATATTAAAAACAAAAAAAAGCCGATTCTATCATGTTCATTATATTTTGCTTTTTTCTTCTTATATTTATTTAAATCTATGGCAACTATTCGAGATAATGATAAATATTAAATACTCATCAATTCTTCTCAATCTTGAAAAATGCTGTATGATTTCAAATAATAAGTCTCATCAATTTTTCATTTGTTCTAATCATGAATGATGCAAAAGTAATTGGGGAAATATCGATCCCTATTTCTATTCCATAGAAGGAAGTTAAAATAGAATATTTTTTTATTAAAACATCGAGAGTTTTCTCCTTTTCCCAGTTCCATAGAATTCGATATTGTCATATATTTACAAAGAAAACCACACAAAAAGAATTACTCCCAGAACGAATTTGCAATTTTTATAATTATTTATCGAGTAACTCATCTAAAATAACAGTTAATTGTTTTATAAAGCAAATTATTGTAAGAACAATAATGTATTATATATTGAACAAATATGTGAATATATAGACAAAGATTTATGATCCAATCAAGCATTCTAATTAAAAATAGAAACAACTGATGAAATCTGTTAGTTATCTTTTTAGTTATTAATCAGTGTAAATTAGTCAAGTAGCAGTCTGTGGAATACATTCTATTAGCTTAATATTAGATTTCAATTAATTTGCATGACTTATTTGATAAATGAAAAAAAAAAAAAAAATTGCAAAATCGTTGTGCGAGTACTTCTCGTTCTTCTTTTGTCATTTTCTTTATGAATATATGAGAAAATTAAATTATATACGGTTCGAAAGCGAGAAAAATTCTTCATCTTCGGATAAAAAAAAAAAAGATTTTTTTTTTTCAACATCCTTCTATCGAAGAGAAATAGGAATCGACATTTATCGAATTAGTTTCGTGTCACATAAAATTTCTTACGAGTTCTTTGAGTTGATTATGTAATTGTTGTTTTTCTGTATTTAATCTTTCAATCGTATTTGCACGATTTGATGCACCAATACTTGTACGATCCATTTCTAAATCAGCTATTTGAGAATCTTTTTCACTTAATTCAGCTAAGATTTTTTCTTGTCTAAAGAAAAACAAAAAAATGTTTCGTTAATGAATATAGATAATAGAAAAAAAAACGAAAATCAAACAAACATACTGTGAAATAAAAGCATTATCAAGATGTTTTATTTGTTCTTCAAGTCTTTGTTCATATTGACGTTTACGTTCATTTAATTCAAATTGTAATTGTAAAATTATTTGAGATTGTTCATTATTTTCAGTACGTAAATGTTCAATTTCATTTTGTAGAGTTTTTATCTAAATAAGATAATAAAAAAAATAAATTTAATATTTTAATATAAAAACAAAACAAAAACCTGTTTTTCTAAATTTTCAACTTTTCGTTTTTGTTGTGTCATTGCATATTCACGTTCAGTTGTTATTTGTAAACTTTCTCTTACAGCTTGTTCAAGTTCTTCAATACGTTGTTGTTTTTTATTTAATGTTAATTCATATTGTTGTTCTTGTTCAATTGAATCATTCATTGTTGATAATGGTAAATTTTTTTGTTGTTCAAATTCTTGTTGCATCCATTCAATTTCTCGTTTCATTTCTGTACGTTCAAGTTCATATGATGATAAACGATCTTGTAATGAACGATTTTCATATTCTAATTTCGTTGTATCACTTGAATCAATTTTAATTTGTTTTAAATTTATTATTTGTTGTTCAAGAGTTTGAATATGTATTTCACGACGTTGTAAAAGAGATTTAGCATTATTAATTTGTTCATTTAATTCAATTATATGATTCTAAATAGATAGATATATATTTTTATTTTAATAATTCGAATTCGAATTTAATAATTAGATTTATTTTATTCAGGAGATTTTCGAACTTAATTTTTTCAGAATTGATAAGAAATTAAGAGTGTTGAAAGAATAATATATTCGAAAATGATCCGATAAGATATAATTATTCGGTGTGATGTAGCAGGATTTTTAATAGGACTCTTTTTGTGATATATTAATCAAAAGAAAGTGCTCAGTAACAAAAAAAAAATAAGATCTAATCCGATAGGAATTGAAACTTTAGATGTATGAGCTGAGAAGCCATCATTCTAATGATTGAACTATGTGGAATTGTTAGTTATTTTAAAAAAACTTAAGAATAGAAATCAATCCTGTTATGTTTAAAATAGTTCCGTAGGAAAAGAAACGAACTGCTGACAAAATTTGTATGAACAACTTTTGTGATAAAATGAAGTTTTGAGAATAAATCTACTGCAAAATATTTTATCTAGGAAACATTTGGCTTGCAATCGAAAATTATAAGTCTGGTTGTATATATCTAAGCGAAACATATACTGATGAGAAATGTTTCGATTACTTTGTGAAATATTGAAATAATCTAGATAATAATACTAATAAATATGACACATCAATAATTTATAAATGATTATAAGCAAAGCGAAAACTATGCTTCATATCATTTGCTAACTAAACATATGCTAGTTTAAAAGGTCTTGCGGCATAATTATTGTAAATGTCATGTTTAATATATCTTTTGTCCTTGGAGATTTCTATAAAAATCATGAATGAAATAAGTCATATCTACTACGAACTTAATAATGATTAGTTTCAAATATGAAACAAAAAACTTGACTTGTAAAAAAAAAAGTAAATCATAATTTCATTTCCATTAATTAAACTAGTATTGAATATTTGATTAGTAAATACATCTTATCAAAAAAAATGTCATATATCTTGTCGAACAGATTAGTGACTACATCATATCAATTAATATAATTTGTATAATAAACATTAGTTAAAAATGAATTTGTGTCATACACATATACATATTCTTGATTAGATAAAATCAAGTATTGAATAACCGAATCTCATATAAGACGAGTTGATCATTAAATATTTGATTTATTCTATTAGATCATTGATTTATGATTAAATCTATCGCATATCTTCAAGAGATACGAAAGAAAAAAATAATAATACAATTAGACTTTGTAATGTCATGTTCGAGGACAAACTTTTTTTTTTTTTTTGAATGAAATATTTAAATGATTGTGCATCCTGTTTTATATATTTCTTAAGTATAAGAAAACCTTTTGAAAATATTTAATCTTGTTATAAATTGCCATTTAATGCTCCTTTTGTTTTTCATTACTCTATTTCCTGTATTGAGTTATGCATCTGAGATAATAAAATAAATAAGATTTACCTGTCCTTCATAATAATCTTTTTCTTTTTGTTCAAGTTTTAATCTTGTATCATTTAAAGTTTTTTGTAATTGTTCAATTTCTTCTTGATGTTCAATATCTAATGTATGTTTTTGTTCTCGTAATTTTTCAATTAAACGTTCTTTTTCTCCAATTGTTGTTTCAAGATTTGATACAAGTGTATTTGTTGTTATTGATGTTTGTTGTTGAACATTAATTGTTGAAGCTGTTGTTGTTACAGCTGTTAATTTTGCACGTGTTAATGCTATTTGTGTTGATTTATCACGTAATTGTTCTTCAAGATTTTCTATTTTTCTATTTAATACATTTATTTTTCTATCACGAATATCTAATTGTTGTTTAGATTCTTGTAAATCATATTCACATTGTTGACGATCAAGACGTGTTGATTGAATTTTTGAATTTTTCTTTTCAATAATTGAATCTTTTTCTTTAAGTCTTGTACGAAGATCATTTATCTAAATAAAAATAAATATTTGAATAAATCTAAACAAAAACAAAAAAAAAACTTTCATACTTCTGATTGTATCATATTAACTTGTTGATCTTTGATTAAAATTGATTCTTTAAGTATACTAATATAATGTTGTAAATCTTTTTCTTTACTTTCATATGTATCAACTTTAGCTTTAAGTGTAACACATTCATTTTCTTTTAAATGTAATTCATTAATACGTTGTTCTAATTTATCTTTAATATCTTGATATTGTTTTTGTAATAATGTATTTGTTTCAATGGACGGTTGTTGTTCTGGAATGGAAAATGTTGATGGAATAGATGTTAATTCATAATGTGGATTATGACGAGATTTTTCAAGTTCATCACGCATTTGTTTTAATTGATTTTCAAGAGATTGTATATACGTATCCTGAAAACAAAAAAAAATAGAAAATATTAACTGGAAAAAGTAATAAGAGTAAATTTTTTTTTGAAATAGAAAATTAGACTCGTACTTTTGTGAATTTCGTTTTCATCTTCATACTTACATTTCTAACTTAACCCCCGGACACATTAGAAGACCCCCACCCCTGTAGTAGAGATGACCCTCCCTTGAATCAACGAAGCGAAGGATAGATGAGAAGACCCACCCATCTCCTCTGACGATCCCCTTAGAAGCAGGTGAGCAGGTCCTCTAATCTATCCTTTGGGTTGTTGATTCAAGAGAGGGTCATCTCGACTATAGGGGTGGGGGTCTTCTAATGTGTCGGGGGGTTTTCTCTGAAAGAAGAAGATATAGTTTATGCGTACAACATTTCGTTTATTGTACGTATTTCAATACTAATATCAAAACGTTTTTTTTGCGAACAAAAAAAGGCTAATGCTACTAGTAATTATTTATAATCTTACTTGTTTAATACGTTTTTGATGTTCATTAATTAATAATTGATATCGACATGATTCATCTTTTCTTAATGTTCGTTCTTTTTTTAATTCTGGACTCCAAAATGTTTTAATACTTTTCATTGTTGCATTTAATTGTTCTTTTATTATTTTTAATTCATGTTCTAATTGTTCAACATAAGATATATTTTGATCATAATCATAATAATTTATTTGTTTTGAAATAATATTTTCTGATGGATAAAATGATGAATTTGTTGTTGATGATCGATTCATATATTCATGATTTATTTGACGACATAAAAGATCAGCACTACCATGACGTTGATGATTTTGTCGATTTAATAAACGACGAGATTGATGTAATTGATCAGATGAATAATTATTTTGTTCAGAATGAAAAATATTTTCAACTGCTGATTGAGATACTGTACGTTTTGATGGAAATGATTCAATTGGTGGTGGTGGTGGAGGTGCAGCTGATTTTTTTGATGGTAAAGATATTTTAGGTTTAATTTCAGTTTCTGGTTCATTTTTTAAAGATTCATGTGTTATTAAAACCTATGAAAGTAAAATTAAATGAAAAGATAATCATTTTTTGTTTTATTTTATTTTAAAATTGATTTATAAAAAAAACCTGTTGTGATTGACTTGATGCTGAAGATTTTGATGATGATGATGAACTACTTGATGGAAATGATCGACATTGAATAAATGTTGTCGGTATTATTGATTCATCTTGTTGATTAATTGTTGATGATACTGGTGAATTAGATGTTGGATTATCTAATGTAAGTAGTGGAGTTGAACTCAGATCGCCTAAAGAAAAAAAAATTACATTAAATAAAAAAAATTTGACTTATTTTACCAAGACTATTTGATGTACAAACAGGTAAAAGTGTATTATTATTTTCAATTTGAATAACACTTGATGATAATGAATTATTTGATATTGATGGAATAACGATCGAATCTTTTCTAACTGATGGTGTTGTTGTTGTTGTTGTTGTATCAACAATAACAAGTGGAATACTTATTTGATCATTATTTTCATTATATGTATTAACATTTTTATCTTCATATTGAGAAGATAAATCGGTTAAAAGAGTATCCGTCATGACATCTTTTTTTTTTTCCTGATAACTTTAAATGATCAAGAAATCAAAGCTGATGGAATTAAGTATTATTTCCGTTTTTCAACGATAGCTGAAAAGAAAAAAAAAGAAAAGCGATTATTATTTTTTTTTTTTTTTTTTTTTTTGTTCTATTCACTATCTGATTGATTCAGTGATTTTAGATTTATCCAATGAGAAATGGATCGATGAAATGCATTAGTAACTAGAGTATTAAAAACGATAACCTATTTTCACGATGAAGGTGCAACATTGACAATATTATGATTAATGAATGAAATGTACTTACGTATATATATATTTTTCTTTTACCGTTGCAAATAAAGATCGCGTGCTTCCTTTGCTGTTCTATGCAGTGAGCATAGCCGATCAATTCCTTCAATTATAACCGAATCCTGTCAACTGTTATCCTTCTTTTTTTTTTATTTCGTCAACAAAAATTTAGATTTAAATAAATAAAATATATTCATGGACAAATATGAAAAAATCAAAAAGATTGGTGAAGGATCCTATGGTAAAATCTTTTTCACTCCCAATATATATATATATGTATTCAATGAAAATAAAATTTTTTTTCTTTTTCTTTAGGTCAAGTTTTTAAATGTCGCAATAAAGAAACAGGTGAAACAGTGGCAATAAAAAAATTTATCGAATCTGATGATGATCCGGCTATAAAACGTATTGCTATGCGGGAAATTCGCATGTTAAAAGTAATGCAAAAAAAAAAATATAAAGAAAATTTTTATTATTGTTTCTTGTTAAATTCTTAGCATTTAAAACATGAAAACCTGGTGAATCTCATTGAAGTATTTAAAACAAAACGAAAACATAAACTTCATTTGGTATTTGAATATTGTGATCGAACTGTTCTTGATGAACTTGAATCACATCGAAATGGGTATGAAAATTATTTGAATACTTTTATTTTCTATCTCTTTATTTCATCTATTAAGTGTACCAGAAACGATGATCAAAAAAATAACATATCAAGTACTAAATGCTGTTGAGTTTTGTCATCGACATAATGTAAGACAAAAAAACAAAAAAAGAATAAATTTTATTAAATTAAATGAAGTATTTTTTTTTTATATATTCTCGTAGTGTATTCATCGTGGTAAGATTAATTAATATGTCTCTATTGAATTTATTTATTTTTTTGTTCTTATTGTTTTTTGATGTGAAACCGGAAAATATTCTTATAACAAAACAAAATATAATTAAATTATGTGATTTTGGTTTCGCACGACTAATGAGTAAGTTTGACATGTTATTTGTTTTTTATTCTTGTAGAAAATAATTTTATTTTATTAAATATAGCACAACAACTTGAAATGACGGATTATGTTGGTAAGTCGTTTGACTGATAGAGTAGAAAAAAAAATAGTTAGAAGATTTCTATGATTTTATTAAATAGCAACAAGATGGTATCGCGCACCAGAATTACTCGTTGGTGATCGACAATATGGTACTGCTGTTGATGTATGGGCTATTGGTTGCGTATTTTGTGAGCTTTACTCGGGTGTACCGTTAGTATTTGTTTAATTAAATTTTTATTTATATTATATTTTGTTACAATGTAGATTGTGGCCTGGTAAATCTGATGTTGATCAACTCTATTTAATTCGAAAAACTCTAGGTAAAAGAAACTCATATTTAATATTGAATAATTAGAATTTTTTTTCTTGTTGTTCTTTAAGGCAATCTTATTGATAAGCACATCACTATATTAAAAAGCAATCCTCATTATAAAAATGTGCATATACCTGAACCCGATATAATCGAACCATTAGAACAAAAGTTTCCATATGTTTCTGAAAGAAGTCTTGACTTTATGAAAGTATGTTTTTATTTTTCGAAATTTTTCTGTTTATTTTTGTTTTGCTCTGTTTTTTTTTTCTTTATAGAGTTGTTTAGTTATGGATCCAGAAAAACGTTTTACATGTAGTCAACTTTTACAACATCCATATTTTGATGGATTTACAAATGACTTTGAACGTGAAAAAAAAGAACAAATTAAACATTTACATCGTGAACAACAAAAATTAATACAACAACAACAACAGCAACAAGTTAAACTACAAAATAATGTTTATGCAACAGGTGGAGGACAAACTAAACAACAAACTCAAGGAGGAGTAAGTTTTTACTAATTTATTAATTAAACAAAAAAATAAGTATAAATATATAAATGTAATAATTTAAAAAAAAAAATATTAATAATAAACATTCCAAAGAGAGAAAAAAAAAACAAAATTTCTCGATTTTTTCAGCATTTTCCATCCCTTTCTCGCAATCAAGATCGTGAAGGAGACAATACACCAGCGTCCGATGATCGTGGTGGACGCAATTTTCATTTACCAAATATCTGTACGAGCATTTATTTTTCCCATTATAACAAATATTTCAAGATTGTTTTTATTTATTTATTTTTTTTTGCAATTGCTTTATTTCACTCTATTATTTATTTATTTTTTTCGAGCACCTATTATCTGCACTTATCCACCTATGTTGATTTGAGATACAAGAAAAAAAAAAGATAATATTTAATAATAATAATAATAATAACGAGTAAATGAAAACAAAGAAGATTTTATTTTTTACTTTTTTTTTTGTTAGAAAACTCTTCCAAGTTTGACGGGCATAACAGGCACACAATTTACAAGTATTCATCCAACATCAAATAATCCAGGCGAATATATAAGACCAAGTCGTCTTGAAATCTATCTTGATCCAGATCAACGTGTCAATGTACCAAAAACACGTTTTAGTAATACACAACATCAAAATATGTCAACAAATGATCTAGATATATCTGTAAAACCTTCACCACAAACAAAACGTTTGGCACATGGAGATAATTATACGCATTTTCCAAATATTTAAAGCAAAATGTCTTTTTTTTTTTGTTTTTTCGTCTTATGCTTTAAAAAAGAAAATTCTTAAACTATGGAATTCTTCTGATTATTGATGTTATTGTTCTTGTTTTGTTGTCATGATATTATGTCCGTTAAATGGAATCAGTTTTTTTGTTTCGCGCATTTTCTTTCTCATGTATAGTGATTTCTTTTCTTGCTTATTATCATACAAATTCTAAGATGTATACCGTCTAAATATTTTATTTAAAAAAATTAAAAAAAAAAGCCAAGAACAAAATTAAAAATTAACGAAAATTTTTTTCGAAACTATGAAAGTCATGCTCACGATGTTCAAAGAGAAACAGAGTCATGCAATGTTTTTAAAAGAATAATCACAAAGAGAAATGTTGTTCTTGAATATAAGCTTAGAATTTTTTTCCAATTAAATAGTCGTCATAGAGTTGTTGATCAATGATTTAAAGCAAACAAATGTTTAGTGTTTTTCTTTTTTGTTTTCAAGAAGAGATTCTTTTATAATTATATTAAAAAACATTTAATTTTTGTTTTCTTTCTTTTTACATTCAATCAAACTAATGATAAATAGAACAGTAAGAATGACGTCAGATACTTAATTGAAAACAAAAAAGAATCAATATACAAAGAGCACTTTTTTTTTTTTGTTAAGTAATACAAACATTTGTGAATCATAAAACAAAAACAAAAGCATAGAATATTATTTTAAGTAACATTTTATATTGTATATTGAATTTTGAAAGGATATTTATTATGTAGAACTAGAAATGAAATATGTCATCAACAGTCTGACGATATTTATTCTGAGTATTGAATAAATTAAAAATGTTACCATGACAAAACTAGTGATATGAAAGGTAAATGAATTTGACTGTTGAAAAAATAATTCTCGTTCTGATGATTTTATTTTTTTTTCTTTTGAAAAAAACCATCTGTTTCACTTTGCATTACCTTAATTTTGTTCGAACACATCAATCATGACATCGTTCTAAAATATTTACAAGTCATTCATTATTCACTAAAACAGATAACAGTCATGTTTCGAATTTGATATTTTTTATGTCATTTATTTTGTAAACATCATATAAAAGGAATACATTAAATATAAATATGCAATAAGTCATATTATTATTTGCTAATGTTTAGCATCATATCACAAGAAAAAAAGTACAATATTTAAAAACTATTTACGATACTATCAAGAGCGTTGTTTCTTGAAAAATTTTAATAATAAGAATTAGATTCTCAACAAAACACAAGTATATGTTTGACAACATTAAAACTGTTAACCGTCTGCTACCTTGCCGGTTTCAGACATAATAGAATGAGCAGACATTTTAATCTATGTAGGAAGTAGTTTGATGACGTCAGTGACATATGGAGAAAAAAAAAAGAGAAAGAGAAACGAAAAAAACATGGTACTTTGCTTCTCTGCTATGATTGTGTTGAGTAAAGAAAAGTGGCCCTTCTCAATTATTTGACTGGTATGATAAAGAAAAGGAGATATGAGATAATGTTTTTAACAATAGAATACGTGTACTTAAGATATGACCTTTGTTTTTCTACAGAAAACAACCTTTTGATATGATTATTAATATTATCAATGAAAGCATTTTATCAATGATAAATGTTTTGTCGACTTTAACCCTTTGGGGACCAGTGTACTTTATAAAGTACACATTTTTCAAATTTGTTATTTTTTGAATAACTTGCGAATGCAACAAGATATGGACATACGATTTTCTCTGTAATATATAAGAGACTTCAGTACATAGATCACTATAAGAATTCTAATTCTAATGAAGTCACTGAAGTAGTAGGTCTCGTGGAATTTTGGGCCACCAACACTATTCTGCAGAGGCGAAGAGTAGCTAAGAGCCCTTTGCGGTCATCAAAATATTTCGATTTTATGTGTTTGGAATCAAGTTTGCAGTGACTCTTAGTTATACTCCAAAGCTTAGTTTTGTGATATTCTCAATCAAATTTCAACCCACACTCGTACTTTCCTACAAGGACGTCCAAAATACTTTCTTGCCATCCCTTTGGAGGAAGTACGGGGATGGGTTCAAAAAATGACTTTCAAGATTATTAAAAGGTTTTGATTACAATATCCACAGTAAACAATGTCCTTATTAAATAGAACATTTGGAGAAAATTTCATCCATTGGCTAAGCCATGATCTTCAAAGGGTTAAGTTTGATAAGATTAGCCAAAAAAACGAACCATGCATGATGTATAGATCATTTCTCTGTTTACCTTCTGGTGATTATTACAGGACTCATCCAATGGTTTAGCATGTCTTATTTGCGAAGATATTATAAAATTGGTGAAATATATTTGATTTATTAGAAAACATTTTCCTCGATATATATGTACATGGATGAATGGTACAGGCATTGTATCGTTCGAGCAAAAAAATTGATAAAAATAAATTTAATAATAAGAGACAATGAAGTATTGCATTTGATAGAGTGATGTCGACTGTGTATGAAAATAATATTTTCTCAATATTTCCTTGTATCGAAGTCGATTTCTGTGTGCTATTCTCATATATCAATCAGCCTTAATGTGTTAATACTTTAAACGATGTTGCCCTTCACTTTGATAGTAATACTGAATTTTCTGTCGAACGAAAAGAAATTTTTGCTTGACTTTTTGAGATATAATCCTACTATATGAGTTGAAAAAAGGATAAAATTTTTATGCAAACAGTTCAGTTTTCATTGAGTTATATCGATAACAAAATTTTAAAAGTTTCTGAACATCCAGCGTGAAAATCATTTTTTTTTTATGACATAGACCCTTTTTACTTCTCAAATTATTTTTCATTTAGTTCTCTTTGATATTCAATCAAGGTAACTCAAATGCCATCGATTTAATTGTCTTTCTACACGAAAAAAAATACAAGTGTTTTTACGCTGATCGTCCATAGTTTTTCATTCATGAAGCTTTCTCTAAAGCTGAAACCAGAAATATATTGTGATAGCTATTGGAAATTTTTACAACTCTAGCTGAAAACATACTTAAAAAAATTGCAGTGGAATAAAAAAGATAAAGGTTAACTTCCGACAGGTGGCGTCAGAAGCTATATACTTGATATGTCGCTGTGACGTCTTAGGCACTAAAGCAGATAGATAGAACGTTAATTTTTTTAGAAGTGAATGGTCATTTTGAGACCAGCAAAATAAAAAAAATTATTAAAATCGATTCAATAAAACTAGACTTATAGAGATTTTTATTTTCGGAAGACAACGTGTCGAAGATGTAAATTGTCTGCATTTGGAAATGACTTCTAAAAATTTTTTATCACATTTGTTTATGAAAATTTTAGTATTGTATAAAACACTTTTAAACAATTACTCTCCATTTCATAAATATTGGTAAACGTTTTTTGATAAAACTAGATTAAATTACTGGTAGTCTGGATTTCGAGCTCAGTTTTAGGCCAAGCACGCGCAGAAAGTCTTGGTCATCGTTGCTGTCAAAGTCATAGCTTTTTGATGTCCATGAAACCTTCATTACGTTCACAAAACGTAGACTTTTGACAACGGTCATCTTGATTCGGTAATTGTCATCATAATGGATACAATCTTCGTATTTCATGATGAAGACACATACAGTATTGTTGTTTCTCTGCTTATTGAAAAATTGCATAACAATGTCTTCTTGATCATGTTCGATTGTTTAAAAAAATGTCCTTTCTTTTAAAGCTATGTCCAATGATTTTCACCGAAGGAATTTGTTATACCATGTCCAAGAACTTCGTGATCGATATGTTCATTTGTGTATTTATCATCTAGAAGGCCATTATAGAGTAAACGAATATTCTAATATATAACAACGTGTGCGTCAGCAGAGGTTAACTGTTATAGAAATATATTTACTGATATTGGTGATGTAAATATAGATGCGCATGATGACGATGAAGAGCACATTTGGGAATTCTAGAAATTCGAATATCATCAACCACTGAGACTTCAGCATTGACAAAGTCGATCGATAGGTAGCTATTAGCAGTAGTCCGAAACAAATTTTTCGACAGAATTATTCACTAATTTGTTAGAAAATACCAAGTATTCACATAATACGAACTTTATTTCAAAAAACAAAATATCGAACAATAATACACGTATCAAAAATGGAAAGCACCACTTGAATTTTATGAAACTTTCTGTAGACTTTAATATGGGAATAAGTCCACTGTTTATGAATCAATCATTGGAAAGTATTCTTTTCCATTCACACACATTCTGACAAACAACGCCTACGATCTTATTTCGTTCTGACATTGTTTGTTTTGTCCGCGCCTACTAAACAATAACTATTTATTCTGATGACTTAGAAAAGCGTCTTTTAGAAAAGATAATTACACAAAGCCATCTTCTATATTCATTTGTCATACTATTTGTCACAATACATTTACTGTTAGATTGCTTATTCTTTCTCACTTATGTATTATTCTGACTTGTCTATTCTTAGAAAATAGATTGCAATTTTGCTTCATTTTTGTTATTTTCTCTTTGTACCAGTCTTCTTTGTCAATGCATTCCTCTTGAAGAAAAATGAACAATATCAATATGTAACTGTATGTGAGGAAGAGGCGAATGTTTTCGACAAGGAGATGCATACTGTGCCTTTTTGTTAGTAGTTGTTGCTAGAAGAAAAGGATTGTGAGAACAATGCAAAGAGAAAAGACAGTGTCAATAATAGGTTCCAATTGTACTTCGATATTAAGCAGTTCTCATAGAAGTATTTAATAGAGTATAATAGTGTTATTTTGGTACAAAAATTTTATGCTATTCTGACTAGACGAAGTTCTTTTCTTCTTGAAATATCGAATTACAACTTCTTCGTCATCAAACTCAATTATAGAAAAAAAAGTGTTTCCCTTTTGAAAAATCACGTTCAGTGTTTCTGATTCAGAGCAGTCAAAGTAACATATCCAAAAAATCGAATATCTACACTTTGATTCTATTTCCTTCCAACCTATAAGACCATTATTGATTGGATGTTTATCCAAAAAGATCATAACACTGCATTGAGCATAATCTCCAATAATAGATTTACTTAAGATTGTTGATGCAAGCATAATCGCAGAAGATAAACATCTATTGATGAAGATGATATCAAAGATGCAAACATATTTATTTCTAAAAGTTAAAATATTATTGACTATGAGTTGAAAATGAACAAAATTAATTTAATTCAACGCTTGTATCAGTAGAATATGCGCACTAATTTTTCGATGAATTGTTTTATTGATTATGTTTGAGAATATCATGTCGATGTAAAATATATTGATTGCATCATCGCTAACTTACAAGAAAACCTCTTCTGATGTCAAATTGCTTTTCAACTGAGACGATGTGCTTTTGATGAGTACTAGAAAGTAATAGAAAAGTCTAGAACGATTTGGTTTTCTTAACTTTCGTTCTCGAGATAGTCAAATATCACTATGATTTTCAACAAAAAGTTGTGGTACCCCTAAGATCACGTGAAAAACCAACTTTCAAATTTTGAATTTAAATTTTACAAGAACAATATTTTCACTGAAAAAAACAGATCAGAGAAATCTATGTTACTTATCTCACTATTTTTGATGAATTTATTGCGACTTAGTCTTTTCCTTTTGCACTTACACAGGCACACTGGCAAAAGTCATATTTCACTGTTTTTTTCATTGATTTATTGATTCTATAGTAGTTAATCATGTCAATGTTTGGGAAAGTTCAGCTGCAAAAGACAACAACATCATATGCATACTATTTTTTTTGTAAGTATTTTTAAACTTCAAATGGATTATGCTTTATGCAGGCTATTTCGAACAAAGGGGTCTTTATTTGTTTTGTTAGGTCTTTTCTAGTTGGAATATTTCCTTTTTTTTTATTGTGAATGCTTGCAAATGATTCTGTTTTTAATCAGATGAGCGAAGAAAGTGAGATGAAATTGAAGTTAACACAAAAGAACTTTATCGATGCGAATAGTCGATAAGGCTACTTCTTAATTGCGGACAAAATTTCAGCCCTCACCCACACTGTCGGCACGCTAATTGGTTTGATTTTCGTCCGCAATCAAGAAGACACGGTCGATAAACAAAAGTAGATATTAAGAAGTGGCTTTTATTACGAGACGAATTAAATATAATTTTCTAAGAATATGCAAAACCATTTCAAATTGCTCAGTGACTACTGTGTAAAAAAAAACAGAAGATTCTGCAGTTTGAACACACTAATATATACGCCATATTTAACGAGGAGTAAGTGTAAGCGCAATAGCTAGACAACATCAAACACTAGTGACTTGCAGTTTTCATCAATCTAAATAGAAGAACTCCGAACATCTTTCTTGTCTGATACTATATAAAAACAAAATTACTATAGAACTGATTATCTTTGCAAATTATTCAAAAAGAATAAATGATCATGGTGTTCCGTTTTGATGCCATTGTAATTTGGAAGTATGTCTGAGATAGAGGAGCCTCAGATTTTTAGTTCACGGCACAGTTGAAATATCATGATCTGCTCATATGTTAACAATAAGCAAACAAAATCCTATATATATATATATAAGGTATGTTCAGATTTCCAAAAAAGGAAATTATCCAAATTTCTGAAATCTCCATCAACTCGATAAGTATACAGCAGTGCAAATCAAAAGCTTTTAGATATGTTGGAAATTACAGAAATTTTTATAAGCAAATAATTGCGGAAATTATATCATTTTAGGAAATAACGTACAATTTAGAACACATGCTTGAATTCTCCGAAAGTTTCGAAATTTCATTTTTCAGAAGTCTGAACACTTCTGATTTTAGATAGTGTGAGGTAACAAAAAGTCGTCCGGAGTTCTTCTCTTTAGATAACTGAAACCGGCAAATCACTAACTATTACCATCGTCGATTAATTAAATTTATACACATGTTGATTTAAATCAGGCGCGGATATTAGTTTAAATTTCAAAGTTTCGAGTGATAACATGTTAGAAGCAATTCAGAAAACATTTAGTTTTCTATTTCTGATAACTTTGAGATGTTTAAAACTCTTATTCAAATCACTGAAGGCGAAATATAGTCATACTTATAAATCAAAGACCCTTTTCATTTTGATCTAATGTTTGGATTAAAATTGTATGACATCTATTGATGATGTGTTCCTATTGAATATACGATTTTGTGCAATGAACACGTCCGTACGCTTTCGCTCCTTCTTCGGCTATTCTTCATAGCTATAGCACCTTGAAAAATCAATTTAGATAGTATTCTTCATAATTTCTTCAATCACGCTTTTATACTTAAGCATTATCAATAACCATATGAAAATATTCACATTTTCCTCTTCTTTCGTGTGACTATATTCCCTTTTAAGGAAAAATTTCGATGTTTTATGCGAATAAATAGAGGTAATGTTATTATTAGGTGATTTTATCGTTGCTTTTGCATGTGTCATCCAATGTTTTACTACTAACTTGTACATGGTGATTAGAACTTTAATGATTCTTTTAGAACTACATATAAATATTTTATGGATGGTATACTAAATCAGAAAAATCACTATCTGTGTCCTTGCAGAGCAAAAAATTTCTTTTTTTTTTTGCTGACTTTCAATAGTTCTTTTGGAGAAAAACAATCAAGTAATGGAAGCACGAGGAAAGGTATAGTTTTAGTCGAAATCTGCAGTTTAACAACAGAACATTTGTTCACACATGACAACATGCCATGGAGATTACTTGATATAGAAAAAAACATTTAAGTAACTTCGTCATTTTCTGCTCGTCACACAAACCAATGTCTTGACAAATATTCCTCTGACGTTTAATCTTTTAGCACACACATGAATCATATTCAAATGAGTAATATTTATTAAAAATGAATCATAGTCGCATTTTTTTATGTAAACTAAGAAATTCTGTTGTCTTCGTTCCGTCTCATTTACTCGTATATTTTGTAAATTTTACATCTATTTTCGAAAAAAACAATGAGTGTAAGTTTTAAGTCAAAGTTTTGAAGCTTTCCCTCTCCTCTATCTTCCTATGATAGACCTTAGCAACGAAGAGTAAAACACTTTGAATAAGTTTCCATAGAAACCATAGATATAAATCAATTGTATTTACGCAGGAAAAAAATAAGAGACTTACGTATCGAACAATATTAGTTGAAATTTTAAGATCAAAAAGATAAGTCAGCAAAGAAAAGGATGTAGAGTTAAAATACGTACTAATATATACATTAGTAATTATGAGGTAATATTATTTTCTTACCATAGTTACTACTCCAATAACGATCTGTAGTTGCTTTAATTCGTAACAAAAATATCATGATAGTCATTTATTGGCTAATACATTTCGATTGTTATCGTATATTGTTCTTCTTTGTCATAGCATAAAAACAATACTATGCTATTTGACGGAAAAGAAAATGCATTCTTTCTCATAAATTAATCAATGCTGTATTTAGTTTTACACATTAAAGAACCCATAACAATTTAATCATATCGAAAATAAAGAAAACAAAAATATTTTGATATATTTTCAATAATGGTGATCACAATTAATCAGCAGATAAATCTTTCCTTCGTTTATTTTACTTGTTCTAAAATTTAAAGCATATTTCATTATATAAAAATATACTAGATTGTATGCTAGCTGGTACGTAATATGTGAGTTTAACATTTCCATCTGATACATTCGTTGTTGAAAATCACTATGACTATGAAATTGAACGATGGATTTCTTCTCATCATCATGCATTTGTAATATGAGAAGAAATGTGTTTTCTGTAGTACTATTGTATCTTTATTTAGATTCTAGTTTGTCAGATTTCTCCTAAAATGTTCAACCTTACTATATTGAGAAATGCAAAATGCACTACGATCTGCTTTCTTCGAATGATACTTTAGATCCTACCAATTTAAAGAATTATTTTCAATTCGGAAAGTATTCTCCATTGAAGCGTTCAGCAAAAAAGAATTACATTTCGAACGAAGTAAAATTGTCAACCGAATGTAAAGTGCTCTTTCGGTTCTTCGAGTCTCACACAATGAAGGGCAGAGATAATTGCCGCATGCACAAACTCTTTTGTACTTGTTATTATTCATAGCATATAGCACGATGAGCTAATAATCATTGAAAATGAAAAATGAATTCATTTGAAAAAAAAAGAATAAAAAATATTAAGGAAGACGTTGCATTCTTTATATGAAATATAGAGTCTTCCTATTCTTACAGCCAATAAAATATGTTTTCCAATGATCGAACTTTGCTGTAATACATCTAATATTAATTTTGTTTGATTTTATTGTTTAGATTCTATTTCTTTTACTTATCACATATTTTCTAAACATGCTACTTGAAAAATTTCTCTTTCCGGCACCGAATCCACCTCATTATACATTGACATCGCATAGAGAACATCTTTTTTGGCTTCCATCTGATTCGAATTCAGCTAAAACACCGTCAATCCCATGTATGCTTTATTCACTATCTCCTGAAGCTCAATATTTCATTATTTGGTGTCATGGGAATGGTTGCGATATTGGCAGCATGGATATGACATTGACGACATTGAGCCGACGACTTCGTGCACATGTACTTATCTTTGAATATCCTGCCTATGGTTTATTGAAAGGAATAACATCATCACCAAGTCAAGCATCAATAAATAACCATGCCGAACGTGCCTATTCGTTCGTTCGTGATACGCTCAAATGGCCAACGGATCGAATCATTATCTATGGGCATTCGATAGGGTCCGGAGCCGCATGTCATCTTGCTTCGACTCACCCAGTCGGTGCACTCATTCTTCAATCTGCATATACATCGATCAGCAATTTAGTTCGAGAAAAAGTTGGCCTATTATCAAAGATAATCACGGGTCCATTTTGGGATAATTGTGAAGCAATGAAACGTATTACATGTCCAACATTATTCATTCATGGGCAACGTGATACATTAATTCCATCACATCATTCTCAAAGATTGTTCGATTCATTGAATCTTCTTGACAAGAAGCAACTTGCATTTCTACCGAACGATGATCATAATTCCATATCCGATCCGATGATTCTGAAATATGCTGTACCGTTTCTCAATCAGCATTTTCATCCGGCAACAGAACCATTGCCTCGAATAGAAATTGATCCAATTTTACGTGAACCTTCCCCAATCAATCCGAACTCAAAGTCTAGTATTTTCTCGTCTCTATTCAACAGCTCAAAGAATGCCACTACATCAATACTACGTTCGTCTACTTCAAAATGTAATAATGAACAAAACTAAACTTTGATGTCATTAAAATACTTTTTATTGAACATTTTTTTTCAAGAAATATGCTCGGCCTAAATTCATCCGAGTCTTGCATGCTACACGAAACTCAAACTTTTATGAAACATAATTATTAATGAGTTTTAAATAATCTAGCAGCAAAAGTGAATCATTGTCAAGCCTAACGCATAGACGCATGAGAGCCATGTCAACTTGCTACGTTGAATATTTGGATTTTCAACTCTTAAATTTCTGATGCATGTACAACTCGAAGTACAATAATCCTGCTTTTCTCTTTTGAAATGCTGTCCTTTCACCACTATCACAAACTATAGAGCACAGTTCAATATGCTGTTACTTTGATCCTGACACAGTTCATACATCAATTAGAAAAAAGTAACGAAAAAAAAATACTTGTAGAATATTCTGGAATCTTTCGAACGATCGACGCTCCAATGATCGAAACTAGATAATAGCTGAATAGTACAATAGTTAAGCAGTGACACGAATGATCGAAATATATCAATATATATCCTGAGGAATGCCAGGAAATATTAAAAGTAGCCAACATTGAGCAAAATCAATTGAGTACTAATACGAAACGAGATCTATTATTGCTCTGACTAATGTCCATTTGAGAATTAGATGGACGAGGATATTTCTCGTATAACTTTAAAACAAAAACAGAGAAATAAGTCGGATCTCCACCTCTATCTAGAGTAGATATTACTGCATTATTTTTACAAAGTCGACAGAACAATCCAGTTGCTTTTCTTCTTGAGTTCAGCATTGGTTTCAAAGATGATTGTAATTCGCTTTGAAAACAATATCCTTTTCCAACCATAATGTAATGCGTATATAGCGTAGCTTCTCCTCTATTAAATAGTGCAAGAGCGTTATCGGTAAATATTTTCATTCAAAAGATATAAAGATTTTAGTGAATGTTATTCATCCAAGTGTTCCAAAATCTAAGTAGTTCACAAATAGCTTCTTATGTAAATTTGTAACCATGTTCTATTTCATGTCACAATTCATTTATCTTTAGAGTATATTTTCCTAACAATAGTATCATCAGAATTCATGAATTCAATCTATTTATAACAATGGAACAATATTTTCATTTCATTCCATCAATAGTCTGTAATTTGATAGCGCGTCCAGGAACAGTTGTCTTAGTATAATTATATTGCACAAGTATTGAAGCCAAATGATAGCTTAGTAGTTTAATGGTGACGATGATCTATATTCAACATATATTTCTAAAGCAGAATATATTAAAGTTAGCTTTTGAAAATTTAACACAAAAAAATCTAAGGTGGACGAAGAAACAAAAAGGTATTCAATTAATACGTTACCGTAAATGCGATCTATTCATATCTTTTGTTTTCTGATACCTTTTTTCAGTTTATCGATGATAAGTATTGTATTGAATCCTATTTCACTAGCCAAGTCAAGATGAAACCCTGTGGTCGTGATGAAAACACGAAGATTACTTTGACTGAAGTAAGAAAATTAGCACAAGAATGAATATATGACTAGAATGTCACAGAAGCAACCAGCTGCATTAATCATGTCAAACAATATGAAATAAGATTTAAATAAGCAAACATTTATGTCGAAAAGATTGAAGAAGAACTTGATGATTACGATGATGATAATCATCGTATTTATAGCGCAGATGATGCTGATGATGTTCTATTATCAATCTGCGTTCATATCATCGAATCTGTTTGTCATTGGTCCATTTGAATTCAGAACATTTTCTGAATAAAAACATCAATAAAATAAAGGTTGAAGAGAACTTCCTGAAATATCAATTCCTTGTCGCAAAATAAACTGAATTCATGGATTCGGATGACGTTCTTAATAGAAAAATATACTCCAAAGATTAATGAATCGCGTCATGAGATAGAACATGGTTACAAATTTACATAAGAAGCTATTTGTGAACTACTTAGATTTTGGAACCCTTTGATAAATAACATTCACTAAAATCTTTACATCTTTTGAATGGAAATATCTATCGATAATGGCCTTGCGCTAGTTGATAGAGGCGAAGCTATGCTATGTATCCATTACATTATATTTTGGAAAGTATATTGTGTTCAAAGCAGATTAGGATCATCTTCGAAACCATTCTGAATTTTTCTGTCGACTTTGTTAAAAGAATGCAGTAATATCGACTCTAGATAGAGATGAAAACCCGAGTTATTTCTCTGTTTGTGTTTTAAAGTTATTCAAACAATGTTCGCGTCCTCTAACTCTCAAATGGACATTAGTTGCAGATTGCATGATAGAATACTTCGTTAGAGCGAGCGAATCGATTAATATGTTAAACAAAATATATATAAATAAACAGCATAGACTTATTGTGAATAAACACAAAAGACCTTGATCTGATGAATTTAATACGTAGAAGATGATAAAGACTGCATACTATACTGAATGACTATAATGAATTTATAAATGATATTCTGTGACAGAATCAATCATAATAAACAAATGAATGAAAAAAAGGTAACAATATTCGAAATGTAAATGATATACTATTGAGGAATTCCAATATTCTGTTAAACTTAATCAGTTTTCATGGTTCATATGAACTAATTTTTATGAATACTTCTAAAATTCAATAATTATATGAACAATATGAAACTTTTATTTGTCAATATGAAAATAAAATAACAATGTGTCTTATTTTTATCATTTATTTTTTGGATTATAAATATACGTTTACACAAATGAAGAGATATCAAGTTATGAGTTTAGTCATATATATGTATATGTATGTATAGATTTATCTTTGACAGATGTCACTCATTTACACAAATCCATCGTTTTCCAATGAATCATTTTTTCTTAAATACCAATTGTATTTTTTATTGTTGTTGATTTCCCTTCTGAGTTAACTGAAGATCAAAAACGTTTCTTTTTTAGTCTAACATTTTACTTTTGAAGGTATATATTTATATGAAATAATTTACCAGATTTGTCATGTTGTATCTAAAGGAAAAAATTCGTTGTCGAGTAGTAAAACAAGACTATGATGCTTAGTTTTTTACATTTTCTTCACTTTTTAATTCCATAGTTCAATCAATAAAATAGGAAAATCATATATTCAACATGTGAATCAAAACTTTCATTTATATATATATCTGAAGAATTAGTAACTTAATAAAAAGAGTTCTAATTATTATCAATTTGTCTACTAAACAAAAATCGATCGGCAATTAATTCTTTCTTCAATGATGATTTCCACAAGTGTATTTCATTAAACATTATAGTCATTATTGAATGATGTTGATTAAATTGGTTTTTTAAAAGAGAAATATTGAACATTTTTTTTTGCTTTTGTAATTTTTTTGTTGCTATACAGCAGAAATATAAATGAATGTATCTTAATTTTTAATAAAAGCAAAAAAATTTCATTCTACACATATGGATATATATTATTGAAGTTTCATTGTTTCTATAGAATATCAATGAATTCAAAACTTGTCAATTTGGATCGTGTGCCAGTAAGTAGAAAAAAAATATAATTTAAATTAAATAAACAAAAGAAAAATCCTTTAATACATATTTCAAGGCTTTTTGTGCTCATGTTAATGTAAACGGTATTCAACGAACAAAAGAAGATTATATTCGTCAACAAATTACAACTATATTTTCATCAAATACATTCGAATCATTACTTGTTAATGTTGAACAATTACGTACAAAGCTTTTACAAATGGGATGTTTTCGTGACATTACAGTTATTATTGATAAAGCTCAAGGTTTGAAAAGAATAAAAGAAAACTTTTTTTAACGATTAGTATTTCATATATTTAGATTCCAAAGTTGAGAATAGTTATGATATAACATATATAACTGAAGAACATCGACCCATATCTGGAGGTATGAATACGGCTGTTGGACAAAATGAAGGTTCACTTGTAAGTAAATCAAAACAATTTAAATTAATTTGTAAAGCATTGAACTGAATTTTATAAGTAAAGCAATCAATGTTTTGATCTAGAATGGTTCAATATTCAAGTTTTCATTTCATTTTTAAATAATATATAAGTATATGTCAGATCTCGAAATTGAGCCACTTTTTGATCGTGCATACTAGACCAAGCATTTTTTTTAGGCCTGTCCTTAAGTTACGTTAGTCGTTTATTATAATAGTGATCATGATTTGAATAAGCTCAGATAATGTTAATGCTTGAACAGAAAAACAGTATGAGAGTTAAGTTGAATTACTTGTTGAATCCAAAAGACCCCTATTTGTTAATGAATACTTCAACTTATTGGAGACTATCATTTACTAACATGAGCTTTAACGAGTAAAAAAAACACTCTAATCAATTTCACAGAGTCGAATCGGTTACTATTTTTAGTTACATTGTACATATTTAACACTGTTTTTCATCTCAATAAAATTCATTGATAGTATACTAGACCTCGCAACGAGCCATTCAGCTTGATTCGGTTGAAGAGAAATTTTTTCTCACGCCGGACGAACCAAACCTTTGTTCAGGCTAGCCTGAGTCGACGTGTTTATCCTTACTTTTCATTTTACCAAACCTCATGTATGTTTTAAGCAATCGACATTATTTAAAAAGTTTTACGATAGAACAACTATGTAGAGTTTCAAATACGATTATTATGAGTGATGTTCTGTCGTGCATAAACTATGTTTATCAACATGAGAATATGAGGAGCAGAAAAAAATGTGTCAAAAAAATAATCCATCGTCGAGAGTAGAAGTCGGAAATAATACTATATCTAATTAATCCACTTGAATTAACGAATGAATTCATGGAATGCATATTACTTTCTGAAAAAAAGGGCAGTCCTGTGTATTTTAGATCTTTTTTCAGAGTGAAAGTTTTTCCCATTTTGACTATTCACTGAAGTAGCACGCATTCATATACAATCTATGATGAGAAAGAAAAAATGTTGGAATACCTGCAGTTTTTAGAATTGCAAGTATCGAAAATTTCCTTCTGAACACTCACAAACTATTTATG